GTTTCCATATGAATTTCAGCATCATTTGTTCTATATCTATGTCCTTGGTATTTTGATTGGTATCGCATTCAATCTGTAAATTACTTTTGGAAATATTAACATTTTGATGATATTGATTCTTCAGTCCGGGAAAATGGTGCCTTTCCAATTTCTTGCTGTAGGCACCAATTGCTAAAAACTTTCCTCTTAACATTGCTTTTGCTATATCCCATAAGTTTTGATAAGTTGTATTATCTTCTTCATTTGTTTCCAGAAATGTTTTGATTTCTCTTTCATTTCTTTAATGACCCACTGTTCATGCAGGAGCATGTTGTTCAGTCTCTACGTGTTTGCATATGTTCTAGAGATTACTGAGTTGCTGATTTCCAGCTTCCTTCCATTGTGATCCGAGAAGATGCATGGAATGATTTCGATTTTTTTTAAATTTGCTGAGACTTGCTTTATGGCCTAGCATGTGGTCAATCCTAGAAAAAGTTACAAAGTTCCATGCACTGGTGAGAATGTGTATTTTGTGGCAATAGGATGCAGATGCTGTAGATATGTTGGATCCATTTGGTCTATAGTGTCTGTTTACTGATTTTCTGTCTGCTTGATCTGTCCATTGCTGAAAGTGGGGTATTGAAGTCCTCCATTACTATTGTATGGGAGTCTATGTCTCCCTTTAGGAGCATTAACATTTCTTTTAAATAGCCAGGTGCCCTATAATTAGGTGCATATACATTTATTATAGTCTCATCTTCCTGTTGTATTGATCCCTTAATCGTTATATGGTGCCCTTCTTTGTCTCTTTTAACACTTTTTGTGTTCAAGTCTTTTGTCTGATGCTAGGATGACTATACCAGCTCTTTTTTGGTTTCTGTTAGCATGGAATACCTTTTTCCATCCTTTCACTTTCAGTCTGCATTCTTTTGGGGGGCTTCATGTTGTGTTGCTTATTCTTATTCTTGTTTCTTGAATTGGTGCGTTTTTTATTTGGCATTTATGGAGATATTTGTTTGCTCTTGTACTATTGTATAGTTGTTTGCTGTCATGGCTTTTATCTTTGGACTGTGTGTGGATTAGTGGAATGTCTGCTTCAGGGGATACCTGGAGGAATGTGGTGTGTGTATCCAGAGAGCTCTGTTCAGTACTCCAGTTCAGTACTCCAGGGTGAAGGGAGTATTAAGGTGACACCCAGGTTGGTTGTGGTAAATCTCTTTTTTTTTTTTTTTTTTTTTTTTTTTTTAGATCAGAGGGGACATTCGTTCTGCTCTGTTGGTATTGACTCAGTTCACTTCTCCTCAAAGGACACCAGTGCCTGGGTGCTAGCCCCTGTGGATCTAATATTCATCTACACTTCCACAAGGACCACACAAAGGATCTGTGCAGTTCTCAGTGTAAGCATAGATTCCCCAGCAATGTCCCTCACCAGCGAGCCCTGAGCGTGTAGTGCCTCCCACAAGAAATGACTACCAAAGTCCAAGCCACACCCTGAGCCTTCCCACACAGCCTCAGTGTTTGTTTTCACAGTCCTACAGCCTTAGTGTTTTCACAGTCCCAGCACACAAGCCTCCCACAATCACATGCACTGAGCCCCCTGTCAGTTCTCCCCACCAGACTCGGTCATCTCTGCTCGGCTGATTGCTGGGCAGGGACACATGCTGGTGTATCTGTTACATATGTCCAAAATGGCACCTGCTATGTATCCACTTGTTACAGGACTCTGTTGCAGGGTGATGAGGAGAAGGAAAGGTGCCACCCCCTTTTTTTTTCTCCTCTAGTTTGGCAGGTACATTATTCTCCACAGGGCTACAAGCATATTCCCTCCAGGCTTTTCCTGCAGCTTTATCACAGTGGCTTGGGTTGCTGCAGTCTGATATCACCTCACCCTCCAAAGCTGGTTCGTGGGCTCTCAGCTGCTGGGGTCCTGATTTGTGCTTGTCTACACCTTCCATGTAGGTCCACTGTGTCCCTCTAATTTGCATGGAGTTTCCTCTGCTGTTTTCGCCTTAACTCTTCCCCGGTACTGTACTCTCCACCTTTTTTAAACTATCTTCTCCTAGACATGAGCAGTAAGCTCCCTCCTTACTCTGCTATCTTAATCCAATATCCATAAGTTTTGATATGTTATGTTGTCATCTTCATTTGTTTCCAGGATTTTTTTTTATTCCCTTTTGATTTCTCCTCTGACCCACTTACTGTTCATTCAGGTGTGTATTGTTCAGTTTCCATGTGTTTGTATATTTTTCAGAGTTTCTTAAGTTGATAATTTCCAGCTTCATTTCTTTGTGGTCAGAAATGATGCATAGTATGATTTTAAGTTTTTGAATTTGTTGAGATTTATTTAATGGCCTAGCATATGGTCTCTCCTAGAGAAAGTTCTGTTCACTGATAAAAAGAATGTGTATTCTGCAGCTTTGGGATGAAAAATTCTGTGGATATCAATTTGGTCCATAGTGTCAATTAGCTCTATTGTTTCTGTTGATTTTTTTTTTATTTTTAATCTATTCAGCCAGCCTGTAGCCTTTAGTTGGAGAATTTCTGCCATTTATCTTCAAGGTTATTATTGTTAAGTAACATCTTGGTCCTGCCATGTTTCCATAAATATTCCTATTCTTTGCTTTGGATTTCATTTGTAGTTTACTGGGAGATTTTCTTACCTTTACATTCTTTCATAATAATGACTGTCCTTCGCTGTTTCTGTGTGTAGCACATCCTTAGGTATCACTTGTAAGTCTGGACAAGTGGTGACAAATTCTGTTAGTTTCTGTTTGTTTTGGAAGATCTGTTTCACCTTCATTTATAAATGAGAGCTTTGCAGGGTACAGTATTCTGGGTTGACAGTTTTCTTTTAGGACTTGGACTATGTCTCTACATTCTCTCCTAGCCTGTAGGGTTTCTGATGAGAAATCAGCTGTCAGACTAATTGGAGATCCTCTGAAGGCTACTCCACTTGATCCAGCATCCTGCTAATGTGTCTAGGACAGCAACAAAATATGGCCCAAATATTTGGGCATCAATCATCCAAGTGGGAGACCAGGATGGAGTTCCTAACTCCTGTCCTTGGTCTGGTCCAGCCCTGGCTGTTTCAGGCATTTAGGGAGTTAACTAGCAATTGGAAGCATGTTTCTCTCTTTGTCTCTCTCTTTACCTTCCAAATTAATACAAAATAATTCAAAAGAGTGGCATAACTGGTTGCTCCTTGAAGGTTTTTTGTATTTTTTTATTGTATTACAAAAAAGCTCTAGGAATAAGCTGAAGGGAGATCTTGTAATCTATTCCAAGAGCCAATACATATATGCATATACATATTTCATATTCATTAGTACATGATATTATGTGGTAGAAATAAAAAGAAAACTTGAAGATATCAGTAGTTAATAAGATGTTAATTATAAGAATTCTGTCTGTAATATAAAATTTAGAGAATAAGACCACATCATACCCATTAAGATGTCTACTATCAAAAACCTAAAAAATAAAGTTTAGTAATAATGTAGAGAATGTACACTGTTGGTAGGAATGTAATTGGTGCCAGAGAATTGAAAATATAGAATTATCATATAATCCAGCAATTCTGCATTTGGGTATTACACCCAAAGAAATTGAAATCAGAATCTTAAAGAGGTTTGCACATCGATGCATTATTCATAATAGCCAAAAGATGGAAGCAACCAAGTGTCCAGTAAAAGAATAAATAAATAAAATGTGGTATATACATATGGTAAACTATTGGTCTTTTTTAATTCTTTGTTTTTTTAAGATTTGTTTTTTATTTATTTGAAAGGCAGGGTTAACAGAGGAGGAGAGACAGAGATCTTCTATCTGCTGGTTCACTCCCCAAATGGTTGCAATGGCAGGGGTTGAGCCAGGCCAAAGCAAGGAGCCAGGAGTGTCTTTCAGCAGAGGCTTAGCCTGCTACAGCACAACACCAGTCCTGAGTGTTAGTCTTAAAAAGGAAAGACATGGGACTGGCACTGTTGCATAGTGGGTAAGGCCTGGATGCTGGCATCCCATATGGGTGCTGGTTCAAATCCTGGCTGCTCTGTTTCCTGTCCCTGCTGGTGACCTGGGAAAAGAGGAAGTTCAGGTTCCAGCTCCACTTTCTATTCCAGCTTTCTGCTAATGCACACCCTGGGAGTCAGCAGGGGATGGCTCAAGTAGTTAGGTCACTGTCCCCTCCCAGGAGACCTAAATAGTGTTCCTAGCTCCTGGCTTCACCCTGATCCTGTTCCGGCTGTTGCAGACCTCTGTGAGATGAAGCAGCGGATGGAAGATTCTGTCTCCTCTGTTCCTGTCTGTTTCTCTGCCTTTCAAATAAATATTAAAATTTTTTAAAGATTTATTTATTTATTTATTTGAGAGGCAGAGTTACAGACAGAGAGGGAGAGACAGAGAAAGGGATTCATCTGCTGGTTCACTCTCCAAATGGCCACAACAGCCAGAACTGGGCAGATCCAAAGCCAGGAGCCAGGAGCTTCTTCCAAGTCTCCCACCCACGTGTGGGGGTCTAAGTACTTAGGCTATCTTCTACTGTTTTCCTAGGCCATAGCAGAGAGCTGGATCAAAAGTGGAGCAGCTGGGACTCAAACCAGCACCCATATGGGATCTCAGCACCGCAGGCAGAAGCTTTACCTGCTACACCACAGCACTGTCCCCAATAGAAATTTTTTAAAAACAAGAAAGCAGCAGTCCGCTATATGTATTATCACTGATTGTAAAGTATATATTTTTCTATGATTTCTTTTGAGCACTCTGAGTGAGATACTCTTTTATCAGACATTAGCTTCCTGTGGATTTAGAAAATTCGTAATAGCATGTCTTAATTTTCAGTTTCCTGTTCCTTGGAAGAAAAACTCATTTTATCTCTCGAGAAAATGTGAAGAGTTTCTTGGCCTGCATAAGGCAGACATGTAGCTATCTCATTATACTTGAATGTTGCAGGTTAAAAATAGTGTTAAGGCAAGTGAATAGTTGTGAAAGTAAATGCAGAGTTGTAGAATTAAAGCCTTTCTTAATAGGTTGCAGATTTGGATGATGAATTTGCTGGCTTCGTTTTAGAAGAATTTAGTGAAAATTTTGATTCACTACCAGCTGAAAAGGTAAATCTTATTAAATTGCTTTGACAAAATTTTACTAATGATATAATTTTATTATTCTATATTGAGTGTATTTTTTAAAAGCTTTTCAGACCATTAGGAAGTGTTGACTTAAAAATTAGTAAATAATAGGGTAAAGCCACTACTAATACAGGTACTTAAACAATTGTAGTGATTTTTAGTACCTTCAGATGTACTTCACAAATTTCGAAATTGTGTCTTTTTCTACTGTTATAACGTCAAGATTATTTAATTCCTCATTCTCTGAAGCCTTTACTCTGATTATTGTTCAAAAGATTTTTTTAGGTAAATCACAAGTGAAAGTTTGTTTTTAGAACTTACAGGTTTTTCAAGCTTCTATAAATGATCATCTTTCTAAGAACATTTTTTTGGTGATCTTCCAGCTTTTAGTGAAAACTCACTAGTTTTTGTCTTTTTTCTTTTGACACACATTAAACCAGAGAATAGGCAAATAAAATTCTCATAGTAATTTAATTTGACAGATTTCTTCAAGAAATCTGCCAGGGACCCACCCCCATGAGTTTGGCGAATTTATTGTTTATTTTCTATTATGAAACGTAAGAGTTGGGGCTAGCACTATTGTACAGTGGGTTAAAGCCCCGGCCTGCAGGACCAACATCCCATAAGTCCTGGCTGCTCCGCTTCTGGCCCCTGCATGTGGGAAAGCCAGAAGAAGCTCCTGGCTCCTGGCTTCAGATCAGTTCAAGTCTGGCCATTGCTGGCATTTGAGGAGCGAACCAGCGGATGGAAGACTTCTGTCTCTACCTCTCTCTAAAACTCTTTCAAATACAGGCAGAGTGGACAGTGAGAGAGCGACAGAGAGCAAGGTCTTCCTTTTGCCGTTGGTTCACCCTCCAATGGCTGCCGCGGCCAGCGCACCGCGCTGATCCAAAGGCAGGAGCCAGGTGCTTATCTGGTCTCCCATGGGGTGTAGGGCCCAAGGACTTGGGCCATCCTCCATTGCACTCCTGGGCCACAGCAGAGAGCTGGCCTGGAAGAGGGGCAACTGGGACAGAATCCGGCGCCCCAACCGGGACTAAAATCCGGTGTGCCGATGCCACTAGGCGGAGGATTAGCCTATTGAGCCGTGGTGCCAGCCTAAAATAAATCTTAAAAAAAAAAAAAAGGAAACATAAGAGTTACAAAATAACAGTCAAAGAAAGAGACGGAGAGAGGTCTTCCATGTGCTGGCTCACTCCCCAAATGGCCCCAGCAGCCAGAGCTGAGCAGATCTGATCCAAAGCCAGGAGCCAGGAGTTTCCTCCAGGTCTCCCACACTGGTGCAGGGGCCCAAGCACTTGGACCATCCTCCACTGCTTTCCCAGGCCACAGCAGAGAGCTGGATCAGAAGAGGAGCAGCCGGGACTAGAACTGGCACCCATATGGGATGCCAGTGCCTCAGGCCTGTGCTTTAACCTGCTACACCACAGCACCAGCCCTCTGAAGCATATTTTTGAGCCATGGAAATTTAGACACAAAAAAATTAATTTTTTATTGTTGAATGAAATTCTGTCACGTTTTAGGTTTTTTAATTTGGTATTTGAATGTTTAAACCAGATGTTCAATATGCCATATTGTTACACTACATGATTAATGTTTTTGAAGTGCTCACCATCTAAGATGGAATTGACCCATCAGTATTCTTACTGATAGCTTCACACACGCACACACATTTTTCTTGTTTTTGAGGTTGTCTTAAATTTTTTTATACTTTCATTTCTCATTTTCCTTTGATTTTTGTTTAATATGTATCTAATTCATTTGAAAAAATTCATTTTTATCTGACTAGTTCCTCTGTTGGACTCAAAAGTTAAATCTCGATTGTGTAATTCATTTTTTCAAGAAGTATTTTTGAGTACCTATTATATTTTAAGCTCTTTTCTACTTTTGGAGGAATTTATTGTTATCTTTATGGGACTTACTGTAATGCTGACAAGGATTTTACATTTTAATGATTGGGAGACAGACAGTAAACTAATGAATAAACACCTAACATGCCAGATAGTGATTAGTGGTATAAAGAAGGATAAAACCATTAAGAAAGATGGAGGTATGGTTAGAAGCTGTTTTAAATGGGTGTTTAGGGGAGGCCTGTAATTCTGAGAGATTGCAGCAAAGACCAGCATAATGTAAACAGGATAAATGTTCATTTATATCTCTGCATTGTAGCTACAGACTGCAATACACAGAGTCACACTGGCTCAGACAGCAGTGCCTGTACTTTGTGGAAGTGCTCTGAAAAACAAGGGTGTACAGCCATTATTAGATGCTATTACTATGTACTTGCCTTCACCTGAAGAGCGCAACTATGAATTTCTGTAAGTATGCAATTACATGGATTAAAAGCCTACAGTAAGGGCTGCTGCTTGACCTAGCAATTAAGATACTTGCATCCCATTTCAGGGTACGTGGGTTTGATAGCTGGCTACAGCTTTTGACTCCAGCTTCCTGTTAATGTAGACCTGGGAAGCAATGGTGATGGCTCAGCTTACTGGGTTCCTGCCCCCTATGTGGGAGACCTGAATGGATTTTGGGTCTCCCAACTTTGGCCAGCCTAGCCCCAGCTGTTACAGGCATTTGGGAAGTGAACCAGTAGATAGAAGCTCACTCCCTCTCTGTCTTCCTTTATCTATTTCATAAAAGGTAACCAACCTCTAGCCTTGAAAAAGTATGTAGTCTTTGTTGCATAAAAATTAATGAAGTCACCATTTTAATAGTGAAGAATATCATCATAAATAATAAAAATTGGACCTTAATAATTTTTCATCTTCTCTTACAACCTGCCATGTTTACAGATGGAGTTAAGTGTAGCTTTTCTTTTGTAAGTCTTAAGTGCTCACCTTACCATGTTTGGTTTTTTTAATAACATGTCTTGGTATCTTGTTAATTATTATGTGCATATATTTGTTTAAGGTGTCTTGTCAATTATGTGACTATATAGAATATATTATGTAGATAAATATATTTTACATTTATCTAGACTTGAGGATTCTTCATAAGCTCAAAATATTATCAGGCTATAAAGAAAAGGTCCTTGTTTTACTCTGTTGTTATTATCAGCTTTGCACTTAAATAATAAATACTTTAAAATCTGAATGAGCATCAGGCAAGGTAGCAGAGAAGTGGACTTCAATTTCACTAACTAGGATATTACTGACTTTTCATATCTAATTGGAGGGGAATCCTGGTGAAGTGATTATTAGCCTGGGCTTTGTACTATTATATTTAAAAATCCTAGCTCTTTTAAGTTGCTAAACATCTCATCTATAAAATACAGAGAATAGGATCTATTTCACAAGGTTATTAGAAGACTTATACTAGTTAATGTTTATTTATTTATTTATTTATTTTTGGACAGGCAGAGTAGACAGAGAGAGAGAGAGACAGAAAGGTCTTCCTTCCGTTGGTTCACCCTCCAATGGCCGCTGCGGCTGGCACACCGTGTTGATCTGAAGCCAGGATCCTGGTGCTTCTCCTGGTCTCCCATGTGGGTGCAGGGCCCAAGCACCTGAGCCATCCTCCACTGCCCTCCCGGGCCACAGCAGAGAGCTGGACTGGAAGAGGAGCAACGGGGACAGAATCCAGCGCCCCGACCGGGACTAGAACCCAGGGTGCTGGCGCCGCAGGCAGAGGATTAGCCTATTGAGCTGCGGCGCCGGCCCCCCAGAAGACTTATACTAGTTAATGCTTATTAGGCATGAGGAATAGTACCTGGTACTGTATTAATATTTGTTAAAGTTAAATATTTGAAGGAATAGGAGTAAGAAATGGAAAATTCTATATAGAAATGTTTAACCTACTTCTGAGTCATGGGCTCCTTTGAGAGCCTCTTCTCAGGGAGACGCACCTATGAGAAAAAGTTTGGCAATTTCAGGAAAACTCCAACTTTCTAAAACCTATAAATTAATGTCAATTTAAGAACATTTTTATAAGAATGTTGTGTAAAGAAGTTAAGGTTGGGGCGGATAAAGCAGCCACCTGCAATGCCAGCATCCCATATGGACACCATTTCAAGTTTTGGGTGTTCCATTTCCAATCCTGCTCTCTGCTAATGTGCCTAGGAAAACAGCAGAAGATGACCCGAGTGCTTGGGTTCCTGCATTTACATCTGAGACCCAGAAGAAGCCCCTGGCTTCAGCCTTGCTCAGCCCTGGCCATTGTGACCATTCGGAGAGTGAACCAGCAGATGGAATCTCAGTCAATCAATCAGTCTGTCTCTGTCTCTCTCTCTTCCTCTCTCTAACTCTCCCATTCAAATATATAAATAAATCTTTAAAAAAAAATAGAAAGCACATATCAAGTGTATTAAAAAAAAGAAGAGAAGATTGATATTGTAGTTCTATGGTTATGCAACCATAGTTATATAGTGCATAGAGTGGAAAAGGGAGGAGAAAGTGAAAGCAATTAGTAGAAAGTACCTTTCTGTTTACTTTCTGCAGATTTCTTGAGAAGTAGTGTGATGTTCCTGGAATATTTTCTTGAGGAGAGGGCTGTTTGCAATGAAATAATTTGCAAGTTGAGGTAACATTTGGAAGAGAAACTCTTGCTTTTAGTTTTGAAGAATTAATGGTAAGATTCCTTAAAGAATTTAGTCAGTGGAAGAAAAGAGGTACATATGATATTACTTAATGGGCTCAGGTAACTCTACTACAAGGTATGAGAGAATTTTTGAGGACATTAAGTGTCTTCAGTGTTTCTGATTAATCTGTATAGATAAATGGAAAGTATTTTATAGGCCTTTCTGGAATGTCTCCTTTATTTTCACAGGCAGTGGTATAAGGATGACTTATGTGCACTGGCATTTAAAGTTCTCCATGACAAGCAGCGAGGACCACTGGTTTTTATGCGCATTTACTCAGGCACAATAAAATCCCAATTGGCTATCCATAATATTAATGGAAACTGCACGTAAGTGGAAGGAGGTTATTTCCTAAAACTGCACTCATCACTTTAAAAATACCTTTACTAATATAAATTATGCTTTTACAGGGAGAGAATAAGTCGTCTGCTTTTACCCTTTGCTGACCAACATATAGAAATCCCTTCACTGACTGCTGGTAACATTGCTTTGACTGTTGGACTTAAACGTGTAAGTAACCAAATGATTTCTCTAGGAAATAACAATTTAAACTCTCGGTTACAAGTAGACGTTATACTATCTGTGGATCCATGTGATGTGTTTTATGTTTATATATAATATTATTTTATTCCCATTAGGCTTTTTTTCCCTTTATTGATCATTGCAGAAACTTTTTCATATTATAATTTAGAAATAACTAAAGATATTTTGCCAGTGAAAGCTCAGTGAGTAGAAAGATTTTTATCTCTTGTTCACTGCTATAATCCTCAGTCCATAGATTATTCCCATTAGGCTTTTTTTCCCTTTATTGATCATTGCAGAAACTTTTTCATATTATAATTTAGAAATAACTAAAGATATTTTGCCAGTGAAAGCTCAATGAGTAGAAAGATTTTTGTCTCTTGTTCACTGCTATAATCCTCAGTCCATAGATTATTCCCATTAGGCTTTTTTTCCCTTTATTGATCATTGCAGAAACTTTTTCATATTATAATTTAGAAATAACTAAAGATATTTTGCCAGTGAAAGCTCAATGAGTAGAAAGATTTTTGTCTCTTGTTCACTGCTATAATCCTCAGTCCATAGATCTGTGCTTGCATGCACTCTGTAGACATTTGTAGGGTGAGTGGATGAAAATACCTGATACTGTATCTACTTTTGGTGGGTTAAAACTAAGAACATTTTCTTTATATTGATTAAGTCAAGTATGTTTTTCTCTTTAAACTTTGGTGCACTTGACATTTAAGACAAACATTGTTACTTTTATTGTGACATTTATGACAAACATTACTTTTATAGTTTTTAAGTCTTTGTGATTAATTGAACTTTCAAGATCCTTTAATAGAAAATTTCTGTAGTTTGGATATTCATAGACTTCTGGCATTGAAGCATCCCCTCTGTCTACCCAAATGCAGGAGCTCCTTGAACATGTTTGAAGAAGTCAGAAGTCCATTTGGATCATTATTTTAGTAGGACTGTCTTTTCAGAGAAGGCATCTGGACAGAACTTCATGATATAAAAGTGTAGAAATGTAATTGCAGTTTTAAATAACTGGCTTGTACATAGAAGCTATCAATTCTGCATGCTCAAGAGTATTCTGGTTAATTGTGTGTTTTAGTTGATAGGGGATTTTCTATAAAATGGCATTAACTTCTTGCTGGTTGGTAAAACATTATAATGGACTTCTACTTAACCTGTTTTGTCATGATCAAAATTTAGGAAGGTACATTAGTTTTGCCAAGTGAATGTTGGATGTATATTGCATATATGTGTATTTGCTTTATTGTGTGTGTGTTGGAATTTATTATAAAAGAATTTTAGATGGAATTCATATACAAATTAAATGAGCTTTGCTTACTCAGTATTATAAATAGGTTTATGAATTTATTTCTCAATAAAGTTCTGATGAGAAGACAGTATAGCATTAAAATTTTTCTTTTCTCTTGGTTCTTGATAGAAGATGATTGTCAACCAAGAGCCCGCTTTGTTCCAAGTTATCTTGTTTGCTTGCAGACTGTCACTGGGGACACCATTGTCTCATCAAAATCCAGTGCATTAGCTGCAGCACGGCGAGCCAAGCGGGAGGGAGAAAAGGATAGAAAAAACCGTGAAGTGGAGACACTTTTATTGGCTGGAGTAGAAGTTCCAGAACCTGTTTTCTTCTGTACGATAGAGCCCCCATCAGTGGCCAAGCAGCCAGGTAAAAATGGTTTGATATCAAATAATTAGTGGTCTGATGATATATATAAAATAATCATACCCTCAAAAGAGTGTAATTAATTAAGTGATTTAGATTTTATCTGAATTTATTGGTAAGATTTTTTTGTGGTTCACCTCATTTTTTTAATTACTGTATTTTGACTTTTACAAACTCCTTTTTTTCCCTTTTCTTATATCTTACCCATTTTTCTCATATCATGTTCTTAATGTGCTAAGTAATTGCCTTATACCTGTCCTTCTAGTATTATTAGATGGTAACTGTTTCATAACCAGTTATTTCTCATGAAAAATGCTGTTTTATTTTCTAATTCAATTTCTAGAACTCATTTGAAGATATTTATACACTATGGTAATATCATTTGGCTATTGAGAGCTATATAGTTTTTTGCTTTTTTTTTTTTTTTAGTTTATTTTTACTTATTTGAAAGAGTGACAGAGAGAGACAAAGACAGACAATCTTCCTTCCACTGGTTCACTCCTCAAATGCCTCCAGTAGCTGAGGATGGGCCAAACCCAAACCAAGAGCCAGAAGCTCCATCTGGGTCTCCTGCATGGGTGACAGGGACCCAAGTACTTTAGCTAACATCTGCTCCATTCCAGGGTGTGCATTAGCAGGAAGCTATATCAGAAACAGAGCCAGTACTCAAACTCAGGCACTCTAATGTGCAATGTGGAAGTCCTTGGTAGCAGCTTAACCCATTGTGCCTCAACAGACTCCCCCTTTATACCCTTTTTGCATTGCTGTTTTTGTTTTTTTTTTTTTTAAGATTTTATTTATTTATTTATTTATTTGAGAGGTTGAGCTATAGACAGAGGAGGAGACAGAGAGAGGTCTTCCATCCACTAGTTCACTTCCCAAATGGCTAACATAGCTGGAGATGTGCCAATCCAAAGCCAGGAGTTTCTTCCATGTCTCCCACGTGGGTGCAGGGGACCCAAGCACTTGGGCTGTCTTCCACAGCTTCCCCAGGACATATGCAGAGAGCTGGGTTGGAAGAGGAATAGCAGGGACATGAACTGGCTCCCATGCCAGTGCTGCAGGTGGAGGCTTAGCCTAGTACACCACAGTCCCGGCCCCTTGTATTGCTGTTTCTTTTCATTAGTTCTGTCTTGCATTATAATGGAATCCCCTTTTCTGCCTTTAAACAGTTACTTTTTATTTAGGTCTCAGTTCAAACATGACCTCTTGAAGCTATTGTTGAATTCCTATATTAAACTAGATAAGGACATGGGACTAGTGTCATCTAACAGCAGGATAGGCTGCCACCTGCAACACCAGCATCCATATGAGTGCCAGTTGAGTCCTAACTAACTGCTCCACTTCTTCTGATCCAACTTCCTGCTAAGGCACCTGGGAAAGCAGTAGATGATGACCTAAGTACTGCCACACACGTGGGAGACCTGGATGGAATCCCAGGCTCCTGGCTTCTGCCTGGCCCAGCCCCAGCCATTTGGAGAGTGAACCAGCAGATGGAAGATCTGTCTCTGCCTGTCTCTCTCTAACTCTGCCTTTTAAATAGGTAAAATAAATCTTTAAAAAAAAAAAAAAAAACTATATAAAGACAAAAGTTCTAGTTCTAGAGGTGGTACAAGAAGGCTTTTTTCCCCCATGAGCATGTTGGACTCACAGATTATGAAAGAAAAAAAGCAATCTTTATTTCCTCCTCATGCCTCCCTGAGGACCTGGGAAAGAAAGAAGAAGATCCCTAGCAAGAAGATATTCTAGTTCCTCAACTCCCCACGTGGAGTTCACATTAAGAGAAGTGAGCACAGATGTAAGACAGCCCCCAAGTACTAAAACAAATTGTATCTTTTCTTTTCCAGTTGGTAAACAAATAACATTTACCTTAATATGGCCTCAGGCAAGTAGGTGTAGTCTGCACTCTGAAAAAGAAGGCTCAGGTGGTGATGAATCTGGCAGCCCAGTTAGATCAGAATTGACCAAGTTAGTTGTATCTGGACTGACCAGGCACTTAAAGGCAGCTTGAGCTGCCCAAAGTAACCCTTGAGTGTCGCTCCCCCTCTTCACGGAGGAACGACACAAGACCTTGCGTTGTTCTTTTGTCTGCTTGGCCCTTCCCGGGTTTGCTGCTGGTTCTTCCCGGGTTGACTGCCATCCCTCCACCTCCGTGGAGGGGCGGGCCCCCCTGCCACTTTCCCCACTTCCGCGGGGGAGTGGCACACCGCCGGCCGGCTCTCTCTGGGGCTGCTCAGGTGTTCCTTCAGATAGATGTTCCCCTTAGATGTTCCTCATGCATGTTGTCTCTCTACTCCTTTATAGTCCTCTTCCACCAATCCCAACTCTGCTACCCACACGCTGAGCACGCTGCTCTCCTCCAATCAGGAGCAGGATCAGCTCCTGCAGCTTATCAAACTGATGAGGCAGCTGCGTAGAGGTTGTTTGGTCTCTCTCTCTCAGCGCCATATTGTGGGAGAGCAGATGCATAGAATAAGTCTTAATTCGAGTAACAGTCTAGTCCAAGTTGCTCCCCACACTTGAGTTCTTTTAATATATTTGAAAGTCATTTCATATTTCAGATGTCATGTAAGCACCTACATTCAAATTATGGAATTGCACGCAGCTAAGTTGCACCAGACAATTTTACATTGGAAAACAAAAGGCTTTACCTGCTTTTGGTAAGAAGTTGATGTCCAAAGAAAGTTTCATTAATTGGCATTCACTTTGAGGTCTTAGACTTTTAAGGAGAGGGACTTCCAAAGCTCCCTTACGTAGATTTCTTTTAAGTGGACCTGTTTCTTTTTCTGTGTTTCTGTTGTGTTTACACAATAGTCCTGTTATATAGCACTTGACACTTAATGTCATACCACTGTGCATTTACCCCATTAAAACTGAACGGTAGTCTTTACAAATATTTTTAATTTACTTTATTATAAAACTTTTTTTAATTTTATTTTATTCAAATGGCAAAGTTAGAGAAAGAAGCAGAGAGAAATAGATCTTCCATCCACTGGTTCACTCCCCAAATGGCCCCAACAGCCGAGAGTTGGGCCAGACTGAAGCCAAGATCCAGGAGCTTCTTCCCAGTCTCCCATGTGGGTGCAGGGACCCAAGTGCCTAGACCATCTTAAACTGCTTTCTCAGGCACATTAGCAGGAAACTGGATCAGAAGCAGAGCAGCCAGGACTTGAACCAGCACTGCAGGCAGTGGCTTTACCTGCTGTGCTATAGCGCTGGCCTCTATAATAAAATGGGAAACTTTTTATTTCAAAAGCATATGTGTTGGGCATTGCCTAAAATCTCCATTACAATATGGCACCTGGCAGATGTTAGAGGGGCATGTCTGCGGCTGCCACGGTTAAGCTACATAAGATCCGACCACCGGCAGGGATAGGTCCTCTTTAGTTCCGGACATGTGGACAGTGTATGATCCCTATACTTCACTTAAGGTGCCCCTGTGCATGTTCCACCCATGCCTGCGTGACCTTTTCTCTGATTGGCTCCCCTACTGTGCATGTCCTTTATAAGCTTTATAAGCCTGTACACTTCCTCAATAAAGCGGTTCCTGCTTAACAGAACTCACGGGTGCTTGTGGTGTGTTCATCACCCGTCAACCTTACCTCTCCCATTTGTCTTATTGGGGAGTGCTTGCGCTGCCCGTGCTGGTCAGGGGCTAGCATCGGGCTTGAGACCCCAACACATATGGTGCTTCATGCATTGTTACTCTTGAGTTATCTGTAGAAGCTTAAAAATAAAATATCTTAATTAGACTCATCGCTTGCAAGCCCTTGAGCTGAGGCCAGGTGTGCTCTCTCACTTCCTCTTTTGATGTGCAGTCAGCTGAGCTGGGGCATGTGCTGGGAATACCTTGGCTGCTCTATTACCCGCCATGGTGCCCACTACATGGAAGGCCACTGGAGTGGTAGTTTTCCTTCATTGATTGGGAGATCAATGGGCATGGATAGGTGTTGCTGTTGATTTCTCAACAATGTTGCAGTGGATTCGTTTCTGAGAGGAGGAGCGTGGTGGCGGCAAGAGGCGCGGAGTCACCACACAGACCCCGGGAGTCAGGTGAAAGCAGGCTTGAGGCAAGCAGCCCACAGACTCGTTTATTTCAATTGGTGCAACATCCTATATAGCCAAGACCAGCCAATCTGGTCAAGGGGCGGTCTATGCCCCAACCATTCCCAGCCTGTTGCCAGGCAGTTTCAAATCCATCCAATCACAGCCTGTTGCCAGGCAGTTTCCAAAGCCATTCAATCACAGCCTGTTGCCAGGCAGGCTCTGTTGCCAAATGGGTTTCAAAGCCATTCCTGAGTAACTGACACTCGCTTGCCAGTGGCCACCTTGGCATGGCCTTCTCATTCCACCACAGATGGGCAAAAGCCTTTATAGATATCAGAAATTCATGTATCAAATGTATCTGCCTACGTGTTCCAGTTATGCCTGCTGCATTAAATATTAACATGACTATGCCTTTTTGATTTGATATTACTGGACTTTCACCAAACTCTCAGGAGGGCAAACTTGGAATTAAACATGTAGCAGAAAATGTAAAGGCTTTGAGGTGAAGAATGGCATTCTTTCTAACAGAATTATTTTGGTAGAATTTCCCTAGGGAGGAGCTTCATCTTTATATATTGGTCTTACCATGCAGCAGAAAGTTGTAGGTGTCACTGTACTCAAGTGCTACCTTCCATTTCAGGCTTAATTTCCACAGGGTCCTATCAGTGATGCTAACAGAGATATTTCTGTCCTCCAGTGCCATGGACATTGTGACCCATTAGTTACACTAATGTTTGGTTCTCTTACTAAGAAAAAATAAAAACATTTGTAAATCCAGCCAGTGTCACCTATGAAGGCATGATACACAGTTCATGTCACCAGGAAATGATGGATGTTAAGTGAATCATTTGATAAACTCCTACCTCCAATTGACTGACATCATTAAAAGACATTGTGTAGAAGTACAAAAGCAGGGCCAGCGCCATGGCTCACTTGGTTAATCCTCTGCCTGCGGCACCGGCATCCCATGTGGACGCCGGGTTCTAGTCCCAGTTGCTCCTCTTCCAGTCCAGCTCTCTGCTGTGGCCCGGGATGGCAGTGGAGGATGGCCCAAGTGCTTGGGCCCTGCACCCACATGGGAGACCAGGAGAAGCACCTGGATTGGTGCAGTGCCGGCCATGGCGGCCATTTGGGGAGTGAACCAATGGAAGGAAGAACTTTCTCTCTCTCTCACTAACTCTGCCTGTCTAAATAAATAAATAAAAATCTTAAAAAAAAAAAAAAGTACAAAAGCATCATTGCAGTAGAGTATAAACCTTTTCCTATGCCCAGTCTTAAAACTTCTAATGCTTGTGTTGTTAAAATGTTTTGCAGTTACACACCAATGACACAGACTAAACAATGTCTGCTCATAGAAAATTTACGACCTTCCATTTTCTATATGTGTATTTGTATAATATCCACAATGTTTTTTCTAAAACAGGTGAAACAGCTAGCTTCTTTTTCTTAACTGTAATTTAGCAAAATAATAAAATACTGCAGTCAGATTGTTTAATTAAATTATTTGAAAGTTAATATTTAAGGAAAATTTGTCCAGGTATGAATGAGCAGGTAAGATATAAAAGATTTATGCATATTGTGACTTAGTTTATGGGTGTATTCCCGAGTTGCTTAGTCACCATGCACTGTCTTTATTTAAATATATGTATTCATATATAATGATTATAATGCAAAAGAATGAGAAGGTATATTATTCATAATACTAAGGATAATGCTTTTAAGTGTCAAAGGGTAATATTGCTCTCTTCAAAAAATGACTCTTATTTTGGGATCCAGACTTTTCTGTGATATCATTTCTATTTAATATGTTTTTCTCCTCTCAAGAAGAAAAAACATGTTCTTTCTTGATTGTCCCTTTTAGCAGACCAAATATTGCCTCTCTGCCATAGACATCTACTATCAATAATACTGTAATTTGACATTCTGAATCATAGACCTATGATTTTTAAAATCTACTTATTCTTTGAAAGAAAAGAACCATTACTTAAAATTTCCTGTATAACTTATTTCAAATAATTTTACATTAGTCTAAACTTAGACGTGCTTAGTGATTAGAATCTTCAGGTAACACATAATTCTGTTTTATTTTTCTGTATGCAACTAAAAAAGTAGTTGGGTGATATTCTAGTATGTTCAGAAGTAGTTAATTTTTTTTTTTTTTTTTTTTTTTTTTGGACAGAGTGGACAGTGAGAGAGAGAGACAGAGAGAAAGGTCTTCCTTCCGTTGGTTCACCCCCCAATGGCCGCTCTGGCAGCACGCTGCGGCCAACACACACACTGTGCCGATCTGAAGCCAGGAGCCAGGTGCTTCTCCTGGTCTCCCATGTGGGTGCAAGGCCCAAGGACTTGGGCCATCCCCCACTGCCCTCCCTGGCCACAGCAGAGAGCCGGACTGGAAGAGGAGCAGCGGGGACAGAATCCGGCGCCCCGACCGGGACTAGAACCTGGGATGCTGGCGCCGCAGGCGGAGGATTAGCCTAGTGAGCCGCAGCACCAGCCAGAAGTAGTTCATTTTAAAAACTAATTTCTGAAATGATTTAGTCTCCTGAGAGCATAGAGTTTGTTTTCTGTACATTTGTTTCAAACCAGCTACTGTAGGAGATGAGCAATCCATTCTTGGTTTTTATTTGCCATGAACTTACTAAGTTTTCATTTAGTCAAATGATTTTTAATGATGTTTTCTATGCAGACATTAAAATAGCAATCATTTCATTGTAAATAATCAAAATTTCCAGATTACTGACAAATTATTGAAAACAAATCTATGGGTAATAAATGTTAATTAGAACCGTGTACTGTGGTATAATTATCACACAGTTTAACAGGTAGCAAAAATAGATGCTTGATATTTCTGAATTGTGTTAATTTTTCTGCTGTATTCTAACTGACCAATATTAAGAATGCATCTTTTATAAATGGGTGCTAATTGGTAATGAAAATAATTTAGTAATGGATTATATAGGATGTTGATAATGAAGCTGTATGTTTTTGCCTGGATTTTTTTTTAATTTTTTTTCTTTTAACATTCATTTATTTACTTAAAAGTCAGAGTTACAGAGAGAGATTGATTGATCCTATATCCACTGATTCACTCCCTAGATGGCTATAACAGCCAGGTCAAGGCTGGTCCAGGCAGAAGCCAGGAGCCAGGAGTTTCATCAAGGTATTCCTTGTGGGTGGCAGGGGCCCAAACGCTTGGGTTATATTCCACTGCTTTTCCTAGACCATCAGCAGGGAGCTTGATCGGAAATCGAGCAGTCAGGATGAAAACCGGTGCCCATAAGGGATGCCAGCATTCACAGGTAGCAGCTTTACCCACTGTGCAACAACACTGGCTCCTGGATTTAAAAATTTACAAGTCATTTTGTTTTACTTTGAACAACATAAACCATTGTTTCAGTTATATGAATCACAAAGCCGTGTTGTGGCATAGCATATTAAGCCTCTGCCTGCAACACCAGCATCCCTTATGGGAGTCATTTTGAGACCCAGTTGCTCTGCTTCCAATCCAGCTCCCTGCTGTGTGCCAGGGAAAGCAACAGAGGATGGCCCAAGTGCTTGGGCCCCTGCACCTATGTGGGAGACCCAGAAGAATCTCCAGGTTCCTGGCTTCAGCCTGGGCCAGCCCTGGCCATTGTGGCCATTTGGGGAGTGAACCAGCAGATGAAGATCTCTGTCTCTCCTCTCACTGCAACTCTGCCTTTCAAATTAAAAATAAATTAAAAGTAATATAAATCAGCAAGATCTTATTTATGGCAAGAAATATTCTGTTAAAATGTTGTGCTGTAACATAGTAAAATGTACGTGTTTTCCATAGTTTTTTATCAGTGTGAAATAAAACTGTATTATGACTTTAAAAAAGAAATTATCTAAATTAATGCCCTTTATCCTTGAATATGAATATCTCTTGAAATTGTTAAAACTTAGGTTCTGACTCAGTAGATCTAGATCTTAAGATACTGCAGGCTCCAGGTAGAGCTAGTGTTATTGGCCCTTAGAACCCCCCTTTGGCCGGCGCCCTGGCTTACTAGGCTAATCCTCTGCCTGCAGCGCCAACACCCCAGGTTCTAGTCCCGGTTGGGGCGCCAGATTCTGTCCCAGTTGCTCTCTTCTAGTCCAGCTCTCTGCTGTGGCCCGGGAAGGCAGTGGAGGATGGCCCAAGTGCTTTGTCTCCTGCACCCGCACGGGAGACCAGGAGGAAGCACCTGGCTCCTGGCTTCAGATCGGCGCGGTGCGCCGGCCACAGCGCACCGGCCATAGCGGCCATTTGTGGGGGGGTGAACCAACGGAAGGAAGACCTCTTTCTCTCTGTCTCTCTCTCTCACTGTCTAACTCTGCATGTCAAAAAAAAAAAAAAAGAACCCCACTGTGAGGTATGGATCAAGAATGGCTTTGTCCATTAGAAAACGTGATCCACATGTGTAATTTAAAGTTCTGTTAAACCCATATTACAAAATTTAAAGAAACTGAGATTAATTTTAATAATATATTTTACTTAACCTTGTATATCAAAATATTATTTCAATGTGAAATCATACAAAAATGTGTTAATGAGGAGCAGCATTTAGCTTCTCATTTAAGATACCCAAATAGCACATTGGAGTACCTAGGTTCTATTCCTGGCTCTGGCTGTGGACTCCGGCTTCCTGTTTATGTATACCCTGGGAACCAGCAGTGATAGCTCAAGTTATTGGGCTCCTGTCGCCCACTTGAGACCGGGACTGCATTACTGGCTCCCAGTTTTAGTCCTGCCCATTGTGGGCATTTGAGGAATGAACCAGTGGAAGGAAGTACTTTCTCTGTCTCTCTCAATCAACCATAAAAATATATTAAATATAAATGAGATATTTTACATTCATTTATTCATATATAATCTTTAAAAACCTGAGGCATGTATTTTAGATTTGTAGCATGTGTCACTTCAGACTAGTAATGCCTACAAATGGCTACCATTTAAACTGCACAGGTATATCTAAGAATACTGCAAGTAAGACTGATAAGTTTGGCTCATTAAATATTAGCTAGTTCTTTTTTTCAACTATTCTTTATGTCTATAGAACTTCTGATATCTTTTTTAAAGGGTGATTATCCTTAGTAATAAATTTAAATATCACTTTACTGTAGATGTATATGGTACAATAATACATTCCTATTCTGTAGTTGTGATAATTCATCATTGAGTGATTATATTAGTATCTTTATTCACCGTGTAATTCTCACTTCCTTTTGCCATTTTCTCATTATTGCCTGTGTTTCTGAATAGATTTTGCTTTTTTATCAACTCCTAGATTGATCTTTGCAAAATATAATCAGATTGATGCCTCTGTTAAAAATTTCAGTGGTTTCCCAGTGCAAATTCAAACTTAATCACCATGGTTTATAAGAGCTTCCACGATATGATCCTACCACACATCCTCCCTCATCTGTTGCTACCCTTTCTACCTTTTGCACTCTAGTCTCTAGCTACTAGCCTTCTTGTAGTTTTTCCAACAGTTTTTGCAAATTGTTTCTTGCACAGCCATTCCCTTAATCGGGAATTATTTTCTTCAGGATTTGGCTTACAGGTTTCTTTTCATTTGTGTCTTATACCCAAATCATGATGGAAAGGACTTCCCATATCACTCATTCTCAAGTAGCCTCTATCACTTTTATATCATTATGTTTTCTTCTCTCTGAGGTATTTATAGCTATATTAAATTTTGCTTTGCAAAATTTGCTTGTTCAACTGTTTTCCCTACTAGAACTTACAGTAAGTAACTTGAAAAATGAATTGTAAATAATGATGTTGTTTATCACATAGATTTGGATCATGCATTGAAATGTCTTCAACGTGAAGATCCCAGTTTGAAAGTGAGACTAGATCCTGACTCTGGACAAGTAGGCATTTATTACTTTATTTAGCCTTTCTATATTGCGTTTGTGTATGTATGTGTGTGTGCATATAACTAAAACATTGATTGGTCTGTGCCCTTAAACAAAACATTCTTTTTAATCTTTCATAATATAAATTTGTGATTATTTATGTTGATTCCCAAGCTAAATAGATAAATTTCTCTTACTTCCTGTTAGGAAAAGAGTTGCAGATTGGTGCCACCCCACACAGGGCACCAAAATGTTAGGAAAAGAGTCGCAGAATAGAGAGGACACAGTGTACAAATTTATAAAGGTGGATGACTGTCACTTCCCTTCCTTCCCCCTTTTTTTGGGAAAAAGCCCCCCGCCCGGTCCTCTCCCCCCCCCCCCCCCCCCCCCACCACACCACCCCCCCCCGGCATGTTGTCTCTCTCCCCCTTTTATAGTCCTCTCCCACCAATCCGTGCTCTGCTGCCCACATGCTGAGCAAGGCACTTTCTTCCAAACAGGGGTTGGGTCAGGAATCAGCTAATTAACGAAGCAGCTGTGTAAGATTTGTTTACTCTCTCTCAGCGCCATATGGTGGGAGATCAGACGCATAGAATTAGTTTCAGTCCACAGTCTCAGTACTTATTTGTCCCCCGGGGTGCCCCGCCATGTTGCGGGAGATGGACCCTGCTCCCCACAGGTGACCAGCTACCCACATGCACATTGATGGAACACGTGGCTGAAGGCCCGACCCCCAGGGGCTGGGCCTTTTTAAGGAGGGCTAGGGCTAGGGTGGGGATAGGGGGCTGCAGGGGGAGGGGAATTCCTGGAACGGGGCTGGGCCTTGGGAACCTGGAAAAGAATGCAGGGTCTGATGTGAGACCCAATTGAGATTCAAGGGCAAGGAATACATTCCAATGTTTATCTGTCTTTTGGGCAATGAGCAAGAATGGCTGAAGCTTATGTCTTTGTTCCATCACTTCCCTATTATAGTAATCTACTTCACATATATAAACTACTCCTCAACATTTTCCACCTTCCATTTGAGACTTATGAAATACTAAGATAAGGTTTAACCCTTTAAGGCTTCTATGCTTACAGAAGAAGCATAGTAGAGGGAGGATTGGAAGATGCTGCTAATGTTGGTAACATACCTAAAAAGATAAGAAATGATAGATTATAGTCTAACAATGTGATAGGAAGTAAAAGATTGGGGAGTAGGTGCTATGGTATAAAGCACAGTAGAAGAACAGACATTTTCAAGAAAAGATCAAATTAGCTGGCATTGTGGCTCATTTGGTTAAGCCACTGCTTGCAACTCTCACATCCCATGTTAGAGTGCCACTTCAAGTCCTAGCTATTCCGCTTCTGATCCAGCTCCCTGCTAATTAACCTGGGAAGGCACTAGAAGATGGCTCAAGTGCATGCCCCTGCCACCCATGTGAGCCTGGCCCAACCCTGGCTGTTTGGGGAGTAAAACAGCAAATAGAAGAAAAATTATTAAATTACATTCTGCCTTCTCTTTTTAGAAGGGCGGAGTATATTATACAAAAGACTTAGAAAGAATTTCTTAAAACCAAAATTGCCTTTAAAAGAATAAACTGATTTAGTTTATCAGGAAAATATAGAATACTCAGTTTTCCAAAATGGAAGCTAAATGAGGGGTAGTGATTAATTTAATTGATCCTGATGGGTACGATGACAGTAAGTAAAATCAAGCCTTTTTTTTTTTTTAAGATTTATTTATTTTAAAGGCAGAGTTACAGAGAGGTACAGACAGAGAGAGAGTGAAAGAGAGGTTTTCCATCTGCCTGTTCACTCCCCAGATGGCTGCAACGGCTAGAGCTGGGCTGATCTGAAGCCAGTAAAAGGAGCTTCTTCTGGGTCTCCCACACGGGTGCAAAGGCCAAAGAATTTGGGCCATCCTCTACTGCTTTCCCAGGCCATTGCAGATCAGAAGTAGAGCAGCCGGGACTCAAAACAGCACCCATATGGGATGCCAGCACTGCAGGCAGAGGCTTTAACCACTATACCACAGCGCCAACCCCCAAAACTTTATATAAAAAAACTTTTATTTTAAAAGTGACAGTTTTTTTTTAAAAAATTAGCAAATATAGAAGTAAAAAAGAATTAAAGTCCTTTTTTCTGTCCCTTATCCCATTCTAAGAAGATTAATATGAAAACTTGGTAAATAGCCTTCTACACATTTTATTTTATTTTATTTTACAAATATCTGTTCTTATTTGCTATACAGAAAGTGTGTTATATATGTGTTATATACAGAAAGTGGATATATAAACCATTTTATCTGTTACTTTACAATTTGCTTTTTTCCCCCAAATAATTCACTTAAAAAAAAAATTGGGGCCATTGCTGCGGTACAGCGGGTTAACGCCCTGGCCTGGGGCGCTGTCATCCCATGTGATCGCCGGTTCTAGTCCAGGCTGCTTCTCTTCCAATCCAGCTCTCTGCTGTGGCCTGGGAGAGCAGTACAAAATGGCCCAAGTCCTTGGGCCCCTGTACCCACATGGGAGACCCAAAGGAAACTCCTGGCTCCTGGCTTCAGATCAGCGCAGCTCCGGCCATTGTGGCCAGTTGGGGAGTGAGCCAGCAGAGGAAGGACCTCTCTCTCTCTCTCTCTCTCTGTCTCTCTCTCTCTGCCTCTCCTCTATGTAACTCTGACTTTCAAATAAATAAATAATTTTTTTTAAAAGATTGATTTATTACTTTAAGGCAAAATAACAGAGAGAGGGAGAGACAGAGAGATAGTCCATCTGCTGTTTTTACTCCCCAAATGGCCAAAAGGGGCTGAACCAAGCTGAAGCCAGAAGCCTGGAACTCATCCAGATTTCCCTCATGGGTGCCATCTTCCCCTACCTTCCCAGATGTATTAACAGGTTTGGATTGGAAGTGAAGCAGCTGAGACTGTAAATGGCACTCCAGTAGAGGATGTTAGCATCACATGGGGTGACTTAACAGTGTACCACAAGGCTGCCCATGCACACAAATAATTCATTTTTTAACTATATTAACAAAGTGTAGCAATCATATGCCCAGTAATTTCTTCTTTTAAAAAAATTAGTATTTTTATTACAGCAAAAGGATACAAATTAAAAGCAGCCAAAGGAAGAGACACAAAGGGCAAAATCTGGGAGGGTTCTATATGCAAATCCTCCTTCATCCTTAGGAACATGTTATCCTCTGGCAAAGATCAGAGAAGCTCAGCTGAGCCATTAGTGTCCAGAGTTTTTATTGTGACTTGATCACATGCTGGTCATGTGTTTGACCTTTGGTCTCTAGCCTCCCTACAAGTTTTGGGCTAATGCTTTTAATGTCCATTTCAGAGGTTAACTGGTGTGCTCTAAAGTCCATGTCATAAATTTCATTAGTAAACAATGTGGACAAAGCCAGTAGGCAAACAAAGGCACTTCTATCAGGAAGGACATTTCAAGGGCCTTGAAATTTCTCTTAGTAGCTGAGAGCAGAGGCCATATCTTTCTTTGGATTAAATTAATTCTTCACTAAACAGAAGACATATAAATAAGATAGAGCAAATATGTCCACCTTGCCCTATGCTCTTTCTCATACACAAACATCTTGCTTAGGTATAACCATTGATGCTAAAAAGAAATAGATATCTCTTTGGTTTTAGTGAAAATTTGATGGTTCTTGCAAAGACCCAAAACAACATTGGCTCGAAACAAGTAAAAATCAGCGTCCATCTTACATGAAGGGTCAAGTTAGTATGGAGGTTTAAAGCTGTAAAGTGCCAAAATGGTTAGGAAATGCCCATATGGTTGGGAAATGTTTTGTCATCCCCCATTCACAAGGTGTTACCCTCATCTACATGTTTCAAGACAGTTGCCTATATCTTCATTGAGAAAAGAGCTTTACCTTTCTCAAATGCACAGTTCAGAAGTTGTCAGCATCAGTTAATTCATGTTATTTTGGCCAGAATTTACTTTTCTAGTTGAAAAGTATAATCTAAGCTCCGTGCCACCCATCCAACTAATAATTGAACTGTCATGGAAAGAAAATGGCTAAGTAGTTCTCTTGTAATAATGTATTATTCCAGTCAGAAAAGTAAAAAACAGTGTTTTGGTGAAAGAGCCTTCACCCTCACCAAAGAAAAAACTGCAAAAGAAATTCAATTCATAATTAATTTAAAAAACAATATTTGTCAACACCATACCTTTATATATTATTTTGTGACAAATGTAATTTTTTCCTTAATCTTTTATTTTCTTATAACCAGACTGTTCTATGTGGGATGGGGGAGTTACATATTGAGATTATTCATGACCGAATCAAGAGGGAATATGGACTGGACACCTATCTAGGGCCTCTCCAGGTGGCGTACCGAGAGACCATCCTAAGTGCAGTTCGTGTCACAGGTAAAATGTAAAACATTTAGTGCTGTTGCTGTTTTTGTTTCTTTCTGTTTAGGTGTTTAAAGTAGGGTTCACAGTCACTAACCTAGTGTCTTCTAGAAGAGGCGACAGTCTTTGTAATTTTTTTTGGTTGTTGTTTATTAGGACTTTTTGCTTGTTATAATGGCAGAATGCCCTATCCCATTACCACCCATAACATCTGCTGGATGAGTAATGCGTCAGACAAATGTGATCTTCAATGGTCATGGGATATAATAAGTCATTGAAATAGATGTCTTGTCCCAATCGTCACTGCTAGAACAAGTAGAAGAATTTTAATTCAGTGTTATTTTTACACTATAAAGTGGGTGAAAATCAATTCCAATATTTAATAGATATAATCCTATTCTGCTGGAATTCTTCAAAAAGTGTAGTTTTTGCATTTCTATTCATAATTGTGAGAACTTACACTTTTTTTAATATAACTTAATTTGGTTCCCTTAACTAAACTAACATAACAACAATTACTCTTCCTCACCTCTAAAGGAGAAAACATTAGCAGGTTTATAAAATAGTGTAGAAAAAAGATGTTTAGGGTAACCAGGTGTTTTTAAGCACAATTTGTAAAAAGTCTTACAATTTACTGAAGCTTAAAAAATTAAACAAGTAGAATATAGGAACAAAGGACATGAAGAGGCCAGCGCCGCAGCTCAATAGGCTATCCTCCACCTGCGGCACCAGCACACCGAATTCTGTCCCAGTTGCTTCTCTTCCAGGCCAGCTCTCTGCTGTTGCCCGGGAGTGCAGTGGAGGATGGCCCAAGTGCTTGGGCTCTGCACCCCATGGGAGACCAGGAGAAGCACCTGGCTCCTGGCTTCGGATCAGCGCGGTGCGCCATCCGCGGCAGCCATTGGAGGGTGAACCAACGGCAAAGGAAGACCTTTCTCTCTGTCTGTCTCTCTCACTGTTCCCTCTGCCTGTCAAAAAAAAAAAAAAAAAAAGACTTGAAGAGTTCTGTTATTTGTATATCTGTTAAAACTAAAAATCCTAGGAAAATATGAAATATTGTACATTAATATCTGAGCTAGTTAGAAGGGAATAGAAATTTCTAGTGATCAAAAAGGAAGTCTTACTGCACTTTTTACTTTTGGTCATGGTTCTCATAAAACAGGTTTTTCCGAAACAATAAATATTCTGCAGGATTCTGTACTTATCTCTGACTCCACACTTTAGAGCCACAGCTTCACAGAAAGAGTTGGGAAAAGTCTTCTGCACGAAAGCAGAGAGCAAGGAAACTTGTCTGGATATAAGGGCAGGGAGAAGTCTCTGAGAATTTACAAGTATAGTCTTCTAATAAAGGCTTTTAGCTTAAATTCATAGAACCCATATGACCCAAAAAATTCCAAACCAAGAAGAGTTTAGTATATAGTACTTATAGATTGTTAGTATCCCAAGGAACCTAGAAAAAAGAGAGGGCCTCTCCAGACAAATTATCTTCAACCCAGGTCTATAGGAAATTCCACAAATAAGGAATATGAACTCAGAGTTAATTTTTTCTTAAATTACAGAAACATGAAAAAAAGCAGTTAGCAAAATGTCAATAGGAACAACAAATATCAGATCCCAAAGCTTCAAATAATGGAATTATGAGATGCAATGCAGAATCTAAAATAAGTATATTTGTTATTTTTGAAGATACAAAAGGGGATAGAAAGTATTAGTAAGAAACAAAAGACTTGGACCTAGTGTTGAGGTGTAGTGGGTAAAGCTGTCACCTAGCACTGCTGGCATCCCATATGGATGCTGTTTCATATCCCAGCTGCTCCACTTCCTATCCAGCTCTCTGCTAGTGATCTGGGAAAAATAGCAGAAGATGGCCCAAGTGCTTGGGCCTCAGCACCCTCGTGGGAGACCTGGATAAAGCTCCTGGCTTCTGCCTTGCCAATCCCCAATCATTGTGGCCCTCTGGAGAGTGAACCAGAGAATGGAAGATTTCTCTGTGTCTCTCTCTCTGCGATTCTTTCAAATAAATAGGTTTCAAAAAGAAAGGAAGAAAGAAAGAAACAGAAGACTATCAGAGTAATCAGGCAATATAAAATGGGACATGACAAAGAAAGGAAATACTTAAATACTAACAATGAGGACACAGGATCACCTTGAAGTAGCTCTACTGCCAAACTTGAAAGTCAAGATAATTAAGAGTGATAATTACAGACCATTGAGAAAAAAACAGGAATTCACAAGTCTATAGTGATAATACATTGATAAAGAACAGGAAGAAGGAGGAAGGTTCTTCCTCATAGTGGAATGCCAAGTGCTGACTCAAATACCAACGAAGAGGGCTGGAAACAGAAAATGCCCAGATGTCTCTCAAACATATGGAACAAAAAAGCAAGCTGCAGACTATATTTACTATAATAACAAATTCAAAATGAAGCAGAAATAAACTATGTTGTGTAATGAAACATGCATATGTGATGTAGCTCTAAAGAAATTTAGCAGAGTGATTATGTAAAAAATGTTGCTTCAGAAGGCTTTTAGGTACTGGTCATCTGTTTATTTAGTAGTTTCAGAATTCATGAATGCTCATTTTATTTTTATCTTATGCATATATGTTAGAATATAAAATATTTTGTAGTATAAAAATGAGTACAAAAAGGAATTGTGAAGAATTGTAGACAACTATTTGTTGTTTTGAATTTGAGTCATGAGTCATTGTCATGTGGCCAGTCACATAAACACAACAGTTTTGTTTTAGTAAAATATTGGGGATTGCTAATAGCTGTTCCTGGTTAGCAAACTGGGGCTATTGTTTTCAGTTTTACAAACAAAACAAAACATGGTAATAGTTTTATAGGAAAGAAATCATAAACATTAGTAATATAAAATATTACTGGAAGTGTGTACTAAATACAAGTTTCTGGGTTAGCAGGGTTAAAGGCCTTTTCATTAGCTAGCCTTTTGTACTCTTTAAATGTTTTATCATTTGATATATTTTAATAAAGTTTCTAATTAAAAGAATTTCTGTCACATGAGACATTTTGAAAAATTCAAAAGCATGATCTTCATATGTGTCTTAACACATGTTAGCACTAAAGCAATATTAACAGGTGATTAAGAACAGGTTTTTAGCTTCAGTAAACATGGAAACAGATGCTTTGTTGATAGAACTACTTGCTCTAATCTTTTTTATACTATATTTAATGTTGTTAATTTCTCCTCTGCTTTGTCTTCTATGAGACCTTAAATTATTGATTTTGCTAAACTTCCAGAATAAATCTCGGAGGTACCATAAGTAATTTGTTTTTAGATACCTTAGATAAAACATTAGGAGACAAACGGCATCTCGTGACTGTAGACCTGGAAGTAAAGCCAACTCAGTCATCATCTGTTACGCCAGTGATTGAGTATGCTGAGGATATTAGTGAAGATATTTTGAAGACCTCCCAGGAGGCCATTGAAAATGGAATTCACATGGCATGCCTTCAAGGTAAAGTACTCAAGAGTAAACATAGTATCATACTCAACCATTTATCATTCCTTGTATTACAGAGTATTTGTCTTTTCCTTTGTTACTGTTTTCTCCCAATTTTTTGTACTTCTCAGCACTTCCTCACTATATATTGATATGGTGAGGAATAATACAATTAATATGTTTTTGTTCTCCCCTGCCTAGGTCCACTGCTTGGATCCCCAGTTCAAGATGTGACAGTTACTTTACATTCACTGATAACTCATCCTGGTACTTCCACAACTATGATTTCTGCCTGTGTCTCAAGATGTATACAAAAGGTATAGAACTATCCTAATCTCTTTTGCTTTGACAACTGAGTGTAATTACCACTGGTCTCACAGACAGCTGTGCTTACAGAGCCTGACTTTGTATCTTTGCCTCCTAAGGCTTTTAGGCAGTAAGAGTTCTTACTGTGGAGAATCTTTATTTCTTTTAATGTTATTTATTTACTGAGAGGCAGAGAGAGCTACCATCTGCTAGTTTACTCCCCAAATACTCATAAGTAGCCAGGGCTGGACTAAGGCTGAAGCCAAGAGCAGGGCACTCAATCTAGGTGTCCTACATAGTTGGCAGGAATCTAATTACCTAAGCTATCACCACTGCCTCTCAGGGCCTGTATTAGCTGGAAGCTAGAATCAGGAGCTGAGCTGAGAATCAGAACCAGGTATTCTGATGTGAGACATGTCTTTGATTTCTTAATCACCAGATTTTTATCTAAAATGGTGTGGGGTTTTTTTGTTTGTTTGTTTGTTTGTGTTTTTTACTTCTTTCTTTATTTGAGAGAGAGAGCACTGTCATCTACTGGTTCACTCCCCAAATGCCAGTGTTTGTAACAGTCCAGGCTATGGGCTGAAACAAAGAGCCTGAACTCAATCCAGGTCGTCCACATGGATGGCAGGAACACAGTCACTTGAGCTGTCACCTACATTAGTAGGTAGCTAGTCAAGAGCTGCCATTAGGAACTGAACCGAGGCACTCTGGTAAGGGGTGTGAGTGTCTTAACTATAAGGCTAACTGCCCACCCCTGAAAAGAGGATCTTTGGAAATTACTGTGTAACACAGATCACTATTAAAATATCCTCTGATTTTGGCAAAGGGACATATCTCCTTAAGTGGTATGTATGCTTTCCCCGTTTCAGACACACAAATATTAGAGGCAAACTTGGTAGGGTTAAGGACAGATCTGGAGTTAGCTTGACCCAAAACAGACTACAAAGGATAGTAAAGATCTAATGTTGATTACAACTTTGTTTATTCAAGTAAGATTGCTTTAATCAAGGACCATTGAAAACAAGTTAGTACCACTAAATAACAGATTCAGTGTAAGTATCATCCCTTCTCAGAGCGTGAAGAAATGTGATTTTCTTGATGTAGTTACTTGGGGGGATGTCCTTGAGTGCTGCAGTCCCCGGGATTAACTCCCAGAAGTGTGGTGTGCTGCATGCTAATTCCATGTGTTCTTAGTGTTGAAATACCCTAGTTTTTTAGGTAACTGATTTTGCATTATAACTCTTGGATTTATTATCATTTTTCTGATACTTAAACTATGTTTAAGACCTAATTTCCTTTTTTGTTTTTGTGGTTTTTTCTTTTTTGGAAGATTTATTTATTTGAAAGGCAGTGTTAAGGTGAGACAGAGAGCTTCCATCCACTGGTTCATTCCCCAGATGACTGCAGTGGCTAAGCTGGACCAGACCAAAGCCAGGACCCTGGAACTCCATCCAGGTCTCCCATGGGAATGGCAGGGGCCCAAGTATTGGGGCCATCTTCTGTGCTTTCCCAGGCACATGAGCAGGGAGTTGAATTGGAAGTGGAGCAGCCAGGACTTGTACCCGTGTTGCCATAGCTTCCCACTGTGCCACCACAGCAACCCCGAGACCTAATTTTCTATAGACTTACTTGAATTCATAATTATAAAGTCACTTTTTAAACATTTATTTATATATTTATTTATTTGAAAGAATTACAGAGAGAGAGGGAGAGACAGAGAGAAAAAGATCTTCCATCACTGGTTCACTCCCCAGCTGGCCACAATGGCCAGGGCTGTGCAAAATCAAAGTCAGGAGATTTACTAGGCCCTCCCACATGGGTGACAGGGGCCCAGACACTTGGGTCATCTTCCACTGCTTTTCCCAGGCCATTAACAGGGAGCTGGATTGGAAATAGAAAAATCAGGACATGAACTGGTACCCTTATGGGATGCTAGTATCACAGGCAGTTGCTTTACCCACTGGCCCTTGAAAAGTCAATTTAGATACTCCAAGCCCCTGACTTCAGAAGGCTGAACTTAATGTCTTTCATGAGTTCAAATGCATACTTTAAAAACTTTTTGACTGAAACAAAACCAAAAAGCTTTGCTTTGAAAAAATAAGATTGAAACTGTGTTCACCTAAGAGTACAGGTAGAAATACCACCTGTTGGGGGCCGGCACATTGCATAGTGTACTAAGCCTCCACCTGCAACGCCAGCATCCCACATGGGTGCCAATTCGTGTCCCGGCTGCTCCTCTTGTTTTTGTTTGTTTCTTTATTTATTTGAAAGTCAGAGTTACACAGAGAGAGAAGGAGAAGCAGAGAGAGAGAGGTCCTCCATCCGCTAGTTCACTCCCCAACTGGCTGCAATGGCTGGAGCTGAGCCGATCTGAAGCCAGGAGCCAGGAGCCTCAAGCCTCCTACAGGTCTCCCATGTGGATGCAGAAGCCCAAAGAATTGGGCCATTTTCCACTGCCTTCTCAGGCCATAGCAGAGAGCTAGATCGGAAGTGGAGTAGCCAGGACTAGAACTGGCGCCCACATGGGATGCCGGCACTGCAGGCAATGGCTTTACCTGCCATGCCACAGCGTCCCTGTGGCTGCTCCTCTTCTAATCCAGCTCCCTAACAGCCTGGGAAAGCAGTTGACAATAGCCCAAGTGCTTGGGCCACTGCACCTGCATGGGAGACCCAGAGGAAACTCCTAGCTTCGGATTGGCCCAGCTCTGGCTGTTGTGGCCATCTGGGGAGTGAACCAGAGATTAGAAGACCTTTCTCTCTCTCTCTCTCTCTCTCTCTCTCTCTAACTCTGCCTTTGAAATAAAGAACTAAAATCTTAAAAAAAAAAAAAAAAACCACCTGTAAAGTAGACATGATTAGAGTGGGGAGAACATTCACCTTCAAGTAGTTTTTTAAAGTTTCTCCTGAAATGATTTTACTATTGCACTAGTAATCTAGATGTTTCTCAATTAATGCCAAGCCCATCCTTCAAAATGTAAGATGCCTTCCAAAAATATCTCAGTTGATTAGCTTTTTAAGTAAGATTGTACTAGAGAACAGAAATCAACTTTAAGGGGGGCTTACCTCAAGTCTTTAGTTTGAATTCATTACTTTAAATTCCTAACAGAAGTACTGTTACCCTTGGCAGTCTTCATCTAATGGGAAAGCTCCTTCTATCTGTTTTGGAGAAATTAATGTTGCTTCATACTTTTAATGAGACATTTGTATAGTGCATACAGTTCTTTGACCATTGAGAAGAGCACAAATAGGATGATTATATTTTGACTTTGTGATTTTAGTCAGGGAGTTAGAATATAGTCAAATATCCAAAGTATTAGAATGGATGGAGCATCATAAAATCTGGAAAGCAGGGAATTAGGGAGGACCCTTGGGAAGAAATTGTTTGACCTGTTATGACTTTAGAGGATGTGTCCATGATAGGAGATATTCCAGACAGAGGAATAAAATAATCCATTTATCTGTAAGATTAGATGAAGGAGGAGAGTACTAGAAAAATTGTGTTGAAAAAATAAAATGGAATTGAGACTATAAATTTGCATTAAAGTATTTGAACTTTATTCTGACAATAGTGGGGAAGTGATTGGAAGAGTGAAGAAGTAATCTAGGATGGGAAATGGACTAGGTCTGACTTAGGATACAAGCAGTAGGAATGGAAATCTATTATTTTTATTTCAACAGACATTTAAGGAGATGTAAGAGAAGGATAGAGATCTTCTGTCCACTGGTTTCCTCCCCAGATTGCTGCAAAGGCCAGGGCTGGGCCAGGAACTCCATCTGGGTCTCCCATATGATTGACAGGGACCCAACTACTTGGGGCATTCTCACATGGTTTCTGAAGTGAATTAGCAGGGAGCTATACGGGCAGCATGTGAGCCAGGACTCAAATCAGCACTTTAGTATGGGATGCTGGCATCACAAACTGTGGATTATTAGCCCACTGCACTGCCATGCACCAGTCTCGGGAATAGAAATCTTACAGCCAACTTGGGGAGAAATAAAAAGTCAAAGATGCATGTCTAAGTGAACTGAAGACTAGTGATGCCATCCAAAAGGGGAAAGCAGAGGAAAGTGGGAAAGAAAATAGTGAGCTCAGTTTGAGTCATGCTAGGGGGCTAAAGAATATTCAGACACTATCCTGAAACCAAAAGAGTACATTACTGGAGCACCCTGAGAATGTGGGCTGGCCAGTATTAGAGGGAAGCTATGTAGAAGTTATTTTTAAGGGTTTGCATTTAGGTAATATTGCCAAGGAAAAGATTGTGAAAAGAAAAAAGGTTAGCAGCAGTTCTGTGATCATAGTTACATGCCCTGTTTAGTTACACATAATGCAATCCTTTCCTTAATTGTAGCATTTTTTCTCTTACTTTTTACCTTTTCCAACTTCATTTATTATGAAAGACATTTTTAGTTTTCATGTTTTCTTTATGCACATGTTTTTCTTAGCCTTTGAAGTCTAAGATTCTAAAGAGATTGTTAAACAAAAAATAGATAATGTGGGGCAGGTGATTGGCACAGTAGTTAAAATACTAATTGCAATGCCTGCATCCCATATTGGAGTGCCTAGTTTGAATATCTTGGCTTCTCTGCTTCCAGTCCAACTTCCTGCTAATATGTACCCTGGAAGGCAGCAGGTACTAGGATCCTTGACACCCTTGTGGGAGACCCAGATTAAGATCTGAGATCAGGCTTCAGCCTGGCCCAGCCCTAGCTATTGTGGACATTTGGGGAATAAATCAGTAGATGAAGTCTGTCTCTCTGCCTTTCAAATAAATAAATAAAATTTAAATGTATATATAAAGGAATAGATGGTATATTTCTTTTGCTTTGCTGTGTTCAGTTTTTTTTTATGCTCCCCCTCCCCCCCGCAATATTTGTCTCCTTGTTTACTGTCTTTGGCATGTCGCATGAACTGTAACTTAAATGTCAAGAAAAATGACAAAAGTAAGAGGTTTAAGTAGGAAGAAATCATTCAAAAAGGTGGACTGTTTCTGTGATGCTTGCACATGTTCACAGGTGTTCTGTTAATCAGAGTGGACATGCTGCTTTCAGTATATAAGCAAATTTTGAAGTTCTTGACTTATAAAATGTTGTCTTTTAGAGAAAGAGTTAAAGCAAGCAAACTTGCTAACGCCCTAGATTTAAAAGTTTGAGGGGTATGAGTAAGTTTTTATTAATCATTTTTAAATAGAAGTTTTGTTTTTGACTGATGAAAAGGTAATTAACATTCTTTAATTTCGTTAGGCTCTAAAGAAAGCTGATAAGCAAGTTTTAGAGCCTCTGATGAACCTTGAGGTCACTGTAACTAGAGAGTACCTCAGCCCTGTCCTGGCAGATCTGGCGCAAAGAAGAGGAAACATCCAAGAAATTCAGACTCGCCAGGATAACAGAGTTGTCATTGGATTTGTTCCCTTAGCAGAAATTATGGTAAGTACTCCATGACTGAAAAGTACATATTCTCTGTAATACAGAGTCTATATAAGACAAGTAAACATAGAAAATCAAAACACCTGAAAGAAGCATCAGGATTTTGAGTTAGAGAATACATGTTAAATTTCAACCATGAGGAAGAATTAGAACTTTGGATTTGAGTTATTGGAAAAATCCAGGAACTACAGCACTTCAAGGACCACAAAGATTGAGGCACGCTGTACCAAAGTATGGCTTCAGTCTAAATGACAGTTTTCCCTTGCAGGCATTTATCTTATGCTGCCATTGTCAGACAAGTATTGTTCTCTCCCGCTTTGCCTCTTCTGTTCTAGGACAGGCACCTGAGTGCTTGCCAAGTAGGAAGGGCAGAGTTATCTTACAAAATGCCAACACCATAGAATCTCTGCATCACAGCCTACGCTATGTTTTCTACTCTCAATATTTTTTTAAAAGATTTTATTTATTTGATAGAGTTACAGTGAGAGGGAGAGGCAGAGAAAGGTCTTCCGTATGCTGGTTCACTCCCCATATGGCCTCAACTGCCAGAGCTACGCCGATCCGAAGCCAGGAGCCTTGAGCCTCCTTTCGGTCTCCCACAGGGGTTCAGGGGTCCAAGGACTTGGACCATCTTCTTCTGCCTTCCCAGGCCATAGCAGAGAGCTGGATGGGAATAGGAGCAGCCAGGACTAGAACCAGCGTCCATATGGAATGCCAGCACCACTGGCGGAGGATTAACCTGTGCTACAACGCTGGCCCCAAAAGCTTTTTTTTTTTTTTTTTAATATTTATTCATTTGAAAGATTTACAAAAAGAGAGAGAGAGAGACCTTCTATCGCTAGTTCACTCCCCAAATGGCCACAACAGCCAGTGCTACACCAGTCTGAAACCAGGAGCTACATTTGGGTTTCTCACGTGGATGCAGGAGCCCAAGTACTTGGGCCATCCTCCACTGCCTTCGCAGGAGCATTAGCAGGGAGCTGGATTGGAAATGGAGCAGCTGGGACTCAAACCATGGCTCTGATATGGGATGCTGGTGTTGCAGGCAGTGGCTTAACCCTCAATATTTTTCTAACCAGTATTTCCTGAAAAATTGGTAAAATGATTTGTAATAACATCACTTTTCCCTGATAACAGCCAAAACAGAAACAATAGGAACAGAAAATTGAAGGCTTAAATTTAATAACCAATTTAAATCATTTTGATTAGGGTTACTCAACTGTGCTTCGAACACTAACATCAGGCTCAGCTACTTTTGCCTTAGAATTATCTACTTATCAAGCTATGAATCCTCAAGATCAGCGTACACTGCTCAACCAGAGAAGTGGTTCAACCAAAGTGTTTTAGCCCATTGGAAATTAAGAGAAAATCAGGAGCATCTCCCTGCTGTCCTCATTTTCAGAAGGAACAATTTTTTTTGGACAAATCAATTACTGTTTCAGCAGATGTAACAGGAAAACTGGTAATGGCACTGGAGCTGTTCATGATAATTTATACAATGACATATGCACTTCGATATTTATAGTAAATGTTCCTCAATGGTGATGTTCATCTATGAAGTTAGAATTGTTAATAGTAGAGACTCAACCCTTTGTGATATATTGAGTAGCAGTAGATAGGTCTTATTTTTGTTTTTTAAGCTTCTCTCACAAGAAAGATACCAGTCTTTTATGTGAACCTGTGTCTTATTTTATATTATAATCAATAAAAAGATATACTTTATTCAAAAAACAATGTAGCAAATTTTGATTCACATGATTTCCAAATCAGTTGATTGTGGTACAGATTGCTCAGGCCTTTTCCGCCCATTGTTATATTTTGTTCTCATTCTCACAATATCCAGTAAAAAGAGGTTCTGCAGCTATTCCACGTCTGTTGACAGATAGCATAAAGAGATGTTTTAGACTGATATAACACCTATATATTTTTAAAGAACTTATAGTTTAAACTAGAATCATTTAAGTCACAGTATTAATATGAAAAAATGGAAAAAACCATTCACTGTTGTTAAAGTGATTCAGGATGGAGTTGTAAGTTACACCAAAATTTTACATATCTATAAAACATTTCTAAGTGCAAATATATATCTTCTTACAGGTATTATTGTCTTACCTACAAGAAATAATTCCCACTTTTCCCTAATTAAATCACAACTTATTTGGTAGCAAAGACAAAACAAAACCAAACAAAAAGTTAGCTAATACTGAATAAGAAAGCATCATAATCTTGAAAAATGTTTGCCATACCTGACCATTCTGCAGCGGTGCCTTGTTAGTCTGTCATAGGCCCCACTCATACTTCTGACATTTTTTTGACTCCAGAGTCTTTCACCAACAGCACTTGCCCGAGGCCTAAAATACAAACCACATATCCACCTAAGCAGCTGAAATTCATGTTTTCTTTTCTTTAAGACTTATTTATTTATTTGAAAGGCAGAGTTAGAGAGAGAAGTCTTCTAGCAGAGAAGTCTGCTGGTTCACTCCCCAGATGACTGCAATGGCAATGGTTAGGGCTGGGCCAGGCCAAAGCTAGGAGCCCAGAACTCTATATGGATCTCCCGCAAGGGTACCAGGGGCCCAGACACTTGGGGCCATCTTCCTCTGCCTTCCCAGGTACATTAGTGAGGAGCTGGATCGGAAGCAGGGCAGCTGGGATTCAAACGGGTGCTGATATAGGATGCCAGCATCACAGGAGGTGGCTTAACGTGCTGCACCACAACACCAGCCCCTACATTCATATTTTCTCAAGTAAATATACAAAACTTTTATTGCTTGGGGAAACTCCTAGAGCTTCCTACTTAGATGGAGAAGGAAAGCTAAGGCATCATAATTCTTAACCCAAATGTTAACAATTAAATTTCATACCATAATCTTGGAGTAAGGTTGGTTGCATCCACATACTCTCCCCATAGGCAAGCTTCTCCACCAATTAGCAGGTTTTTCTGTTGCTGAGAAGCTACATTAGAATCATTGAATTAGTAAAGTTAAGCAGTTCAAGGCTTATATACAGAGGCGGTTTCTTCTGTCTTTATTTATGACACCACTTTCTTCCTACAGTCAGTAGGACCTTGAGAGATATTTGTATTTGTGACATAAAAATACTGGTAAATTTTATTCCCACTTCTGATCTATGGTTTACAGTGCTTGTAACCATGCATGGACTAATGTGAGCCAACATTAAACAAAGATACTGTTTTATGCAAATTTATTTGAACACTAGGAAACCACTTTTCCCCCGGTTGCCCAGGAGATGCCCAGAAATACAAGCTGGAATTCTAGTTTTTGTTTTCTTTTTAATGGAGTGTGACCACCATGCATTCCTTCAGTTTCTACCTCTTGAAAGAGAAATAAAAGGTATTGATTACCTAATGCTTTTTTTAACAGTAAGTATGGCTTTTTGATGCTCATAAAATGTTTTCTAAAAGTTAAATCAATTCCTAATAGACATATAATTCTGAAAAACTTTTTACAGCAAATCCTTTCTCTGAGTAAATTTTATACTACAGTCTGATATACAGAACCAGACAGAGTAGAACTGTTCATGAAAGGATCTAAGAGAATGAAGCTCCACCACCCAGACACCCCTCCCAGTGACTCCATACCCCCAAGGATGCCTACTCCTCAGAACCCCAACAGCACACACATACTGAAGTCAACCCCAGCTTTGCTCAGGTGTTTTGCACTGGAGAGGCAGTTCAGAAGAGGTTACACGAGCAGTCAGATGTCTCATATGTAGAGAGTGAGTGATTAGACTCATCAATGAAAATGGAGATAAAAATTTAAGGGGAGCTACTTATAAAGTTATTTAGGCAAGTATATGATTTCTTTCACAGAGTTTAAAATGAGATGACATTGAGGGGTTTTTTTTTGTTGTTTTAAATCAAGGATAAAACATAAAAGTAAGTAAAGTAGGTAATATCAGGTTAATTACCAGGAAAGTTAAGAGGTTCCACTTGATAGTATGTTCTCCAGTCTTGTCCATAACTAATCACATCTAAGTACCAAGGAGCAGAAAGGATTACAGGGAAGCCAGCATCTGTGATTTGACTTACTTCTTTATTGTACATATCTTCTTTCCACACTTGAACTACTGTGCCTGGTTGAAGCTATTAAAGACACAAATACAGTACATATTTTTAGCTCCATCAAATACTGTAAGATGAATGTCCAGGCATTATGGTTAGGAACAAACATCTGTTTTCTACTTTCCCCTTTTCTCAGATTTAGTGCCATACACTATTCATAGTACGGACTTAAAATTAGAAGTTTCATCAATCTTCAGGTTGCATATTGAATTTTTGCCTTTATATGATACCATTTAGATGCAAAGAACTAAGATAGAAATTTGCATGTAGTCCCATTTCTAGCACACTGAGGTTTTATTTATTTTGAAACTATGAGAATGTAAGTATATATCGACAGTTTTACTTACTACAAAGCTACCTTAATAGCAGTAAAGTTCATTTGTTCATGTCTGTTTATTCTACCCTTCTGAATAAAAAGGGAGCTTAATTAAAACTACTTCAGTTTGTGATTAATAATGGATGGTGAGGGATGAGGGGAGAAAGAGAGAAAATGATCAAGTTTCATATTAGGAGAATCATGTGGATTTCACAATTCTCACCTTAGCTCCAATATCAAAAACCTCTTGCCAAACAATAGAGCTCTTATTTGTGCTTGCAATAATATCCAAAAGCCTAGCATTGAAAAAAATAACAGTTATTTCATATCACGACTAAACAATATATTAAAATATGTACATTTTCTACCAGGTGCCTTTTAGTGTAACAACCTCATAGCAAAACCAGCTAAAAGTTGGGTAGAGAAATAAATAGTTCCTCTCTACTTAGCACATTGCAAGGAACCTACCATAGTGTAGGTTAATAGTAATTTGCTAAATTAATGAACAATGCCCCTAAAGAAGAAGAAGGGGCCTAAGAGTAAATTGGTAGACAACTCAAGAAACTATCAACAGTGTTCTCTCTGGTAATTTTATGGGTATTTTAGAATAAAGGAAAATATTAATCTAGCCTGCCATATTACCTAAATAACATTCTAACACTTGCTGAAATCAGTCCACAAATCAGTAGAGCTATTTAGACAACCTGGGTGCTCTGAAGAATAAAGAAAGTTAGAATGTATCACCAAAAAAAGCTGAATACGAAAAGGCTGGAACCTAGGCTTGTCACATGTATGGTGTAGAACATAGGTTGGCAGACTATACCCTGTAGCCTATTTTTATATAAAAATAACTGAGAATGGTGTATACATTTATTAAGCATTATACAAAATAAAAGGGCAGCATATACAACTGTGGTGGCCCATTAAGCCTCCAAAAAAATTTTAAAAGATTTATTTATTTGAAAAGCAGAATTAGGGAAAGATAAATCTTCCATCCACCAGTTCGCTCCCCAAATGGCTGCAACAGCCATGGCTGGGACAGGCCAAATTTAGGAGCCAGGAGCTTCTTCGGGGTCTCCCACTTGGGTGCAAGTGCCCAAGCACTTGGGCCTTTGTCTGCTGCTTTCCCAGGTGCATTAGCAGGGAGCTAGATCAGAAGTGAGGCAGCCAGGATTCCAACCAGCACCTATGTGAGACGCTGGTGTTGTCAGGCGCTGGCTTAACCTGTATGCCTCAACACTGGCATCAAGCCTAAAATATTTTAAAAGTTTGGTGATTCCTACTATAGAGCAGTGCTGTCCAATGAACCTTTCTGCAATGAGAATTTTCTATACCTGCCCTTTTAAATATAGCAGCTGTTAGTTTCATCTGGCTATGGAATACATGAATCATTACTGATGTACTTAGGGAACTGAATTTGTAATGTTTAGTTTTAATAAATACAGACAGCCACATATGAGTATGTAGTGGTGTTGCACAGCACAGACAGAGCAAAAAGAAATGCTTCTGGAACTGAGAAAAGGGAATGGATTCAGGGGCTGGATGGTGAAGACTTGGCCAGGGTAGCCAGGGTTGTAAGGTGACTTCCTAGAACAGGGGACTGCATTCCTTTGCTTCAGCAGTTACTGAAAAACACTTGAGTTACCCTGTTAGTGATTTAAAGAAAGAAGTAGATACTGCATCCTTTTAAAGAGATTTTTCACAGCATGTATACTTTGGCAAGGAGTAGAGAGTACATGAAAAAATAAAGCATGGTACTGAATAATAGCTTAAATTTTAAAAATCATTGATAAAATATACAGGTAGGTTTTCAAAAAACTTACTTGTGGGTATAAAAACATTCTAGCTGTTTAAAATCTCTGCCAAACCCTTTTTCCTTCATGAACTTTTCGATGTCTGGGTTTGATGCCCTTAAACAAAAATGGTGATTAAAATTTCATTAAAAGCTGTACATGCTGAATCTATTATTTAAACCAACACATATCCCTGACATCATTCCTGCATACTTGAAACTTGCGGGAGGAAATAAAAGAAGCCTAAAATCTTAATTACGATTTATCTTTCTACTGTGCATAATTTTTCCAGTAGCTGATTTCTCATAAAAATGGCTTTCCTTACTACTATACCTGTCTCTCCTCCATTTATGGCTATTTGCAGAGGATTTTTATTTGAAAATTCTCTCCCATTTAAGAACTGCCTTCATTCACTAAAAGGGAAAACAATAATTTTCATTCGTCCATTTTCTTCTGCATCTTGATTCTCCTTCTTAGGAAATGTACATCCTAAAAGAATCTTCTGTCTCAGGAATTGTGTTGCCCAGGGTAAGCCCCTTCAGAGATGTTATCCCAAATCCCTTTCCATGTTGAGCCCTCTACATCTAATGCAAAGGCAGCAGTTCAGTGAGGGGTTTAATGAATCACCATACCAACACCAATATTCCACTTCATCTCCTCCCAGATGAACGTATTTATCTGGAAACACCTTACTGATTTCTTTGAAAAATTTAGTAAGGAAGCTGTAAGTTGTATTCAGAACAGGGTTTATAGGCCCAAAACTATTTTGCTGGGTCGGGTCCTTGTGACATGGAGTCAGGAGGTCTTTCTGACCTAGAAGAAAACACAGTGATTCTTTACAGAGAAGTGTATTAATTGCAACTTTACACACAACTGTACTACAGGTGCTCAACTTATAATGGGGTTACATCCCAATAAATCCTATCAGAAGCTGAAAATAGCTTAGATCAAAATGCATTTAATGCAATGTACCTAACCTACCGAATGCAGAGGAAACTCAAGAAACTCATGGAAATTAACTCATGGAATTAAAAGGTAAGTTTGGAGAGTATGTTTAATACAATGATTAGGATGATATTTGAAACACCCACATCCCATTTCAGAGTACCTGGGTTCGAATCTCAGCTCTGCCTCTGATCCAACTCCCTGCTAATGCTAACCTGGGAGGCAGCAGATGATGACTTAAGTACTTGGGTCCCTGCCACCCATTTGGGAGACCCAGATGGAGTTTCAGGCTCCTGGCTTTAGCCTGGCCCAGCTCCTGCTATTGCATGCATTTGGGGAATGACCCAGAGGATAGAAAATCTATTAGTCTGTTTCTGTCCTTCTCTCTTTCAGATAAATTAACATTAATTAGTACAAGATAAGTTTATTTGGGTATAGAAATATTTAAAATCTGCAAATGCAAGGTCTTCAAAAAGTCTATGGAAAATGGATATCATGAAAAACTTGGCATGGATTTTAAAATTTGCACTAAAACATTTTAATTCCATTTTTCCTAGTTTGGTTTTTTTTTTTTTTTCTTTTTTGCAGTACCCTTTTGTCATAGCTTAGTCACACAGTATCCTGTATCCCCTTTGTGATTGTTGACTAGGAGCTGCTGCTGTTACTGCCACTACCAGAATTTCAATAGTATCATACCACCTATCACTAGCTTGGGAAAATATCAAAATTCAAAATATAGTTTCTATATAATGTGTATTGCCTTCATCCAATCATAAAATTGAAATGTTGTAAGTTGAGCCAGCCTAAGTCGAGATTCATCTGTATTTTGTTGAAACTGAAAGAATTTTTAGGAAGATTGATTGACTGATTGATTTGAAAGACAGAGGGAGAGAGTGAGCAAGATCTTCCATGTACTTGTTTACTCCCCAAGTGGCCACATTAGCATGGCTGGGCCAGGCCAAACCCAGTAGCCAAGACCTCTACCCCAATCTCCCACATGGGTGGCAGAGACCCAAGTACTTGGGCTACCTTCTGCTTTTTCCTCAGGCACACGAACAGGCAGCTGGATCAGAAGCAGACAGCAAAGACTCAAACAGGCACTCTAATATGGAATGCTGGAGTCTCAAGTTGTGACTTACCCTGCTGCACCTCCATGCTGGTTCCAAAACTAAGGTTTCTTTTTAAGATTTATTTGTTTACTTGAAAGAGTTTTGGAGAGAGGGAGAATAAAGAGAAAGAGGTCTTCCATCTCTTGGTTCACCCCCCAAATGCCCAAAATAGCCAGGTCTGGGCCAAGGAGAAACCAAAAGGCTGGAACTCAATCTGGGTCTCCTACCTGGGGAGCTCAGTCCCAAGTACTTGAGCCATCACCTTCTCTCTCTCATTGTTTGAACTGGCAGGAAGCTGCTTCCAAAGTGGAGGAGCCTGGACTTGAAACAGGCACTCTGATACAGCATACAGGAATGGCAAGCAGAGACCTCACCACTATGCCAAGTGCTTGTCCCTAGAGCTGGGGCACTCCAATATTGGGTGCAGGCATCTTAATCAGTATCTTAACCACTTAGGTCAAACACCAGCCCTATTAGTAAAATTTTTTAAGGTTTCAGGAGATGGAAATGCTAACTAACCTCATCGGTTCATTACACATTGAGTATATATCAAATTATCACACTATACCCCACAAATATGTACAATTAGATTTTTAAATGTGAAATCATTTATGAAATTTTCCTACTGAGTTGTAACAATATAAAATAAAGGTATATGTTATTTAAAAGTCCCATTTTAGGCCAGTGTCACGGCTCACTAGGCTAATCCTCTGCCTGCGGCGCCAGCACCCTGGGTTCTAGTCCCGGTTGGGGCGCCGGATTCTGTCCTGATTGCTCCTCTTCCAGTTCAGCTCTTTGCTGTGGCCCAGGAGTGCAGTGGAGGATGGCCCAAGTGCTTGGGCCCTGCACCCGCATGGGAGACCAGGAGAAGCACCTGGCTCCTGGCTTCGGATGCCAGCCATAGCAGCCATTTGGGGGGTGAACCAATGGAAGGAAGACCACTCTCTCTGTCTCTCTCACTGTCTAACTCTGCTTGTCAAAAAATTTAAAAAAAAATAAAAGTCTCATTTTAGGGATGTGGAACCTGAAGAAGAGATATTTCATAACTTATCCAAAGTCACTCAATTTATGAATGGCAGAAGCAGGATTCAACCCCAAGTAGTCTGGCTCCGGAGCCAACATTCCAATCACCACCCTGTCATGTCTGTTACTCTTTGCCAGATCCTAGAAAAACTAAATACTTGTCAGACATGTCTTACCCTTTTTGCATTGCCTTTCCCCATGCCGTTCCCTCTACCAGAAACATGAATATATTCTTTGAAGTCTCAGAAGCTTTTTTTTTTGGACAGGCAGAGTGGACAGTGAGAGAGAGAGAGACAGAGAGAAAGGTCTTCCTTTGCCGTTGGTTCACCCTCCAATGGCCAGCGCGGCCGGCGCGCTGCGGCCGGCGCACCGCGCTGATCCGATGGCAGGAGCCAGGAGCCAGGTGCTTTTCCTGGTCTCCCATGGGGTGCAGGGCCCAAGCACCTGGGCCATCCTCCACTGCACTCCCTGGCCACAGCAGAGGGCTGGCCTGGAAGAGGGGCAACCGGGACAGAATCCGGCGCCCCGACCGGGACTAGAACCCGGTGTGCCGGCGCCGCTAGGCGGAGGATTAGCCTAGTGAGCCGCGGCGCCGGCCTCAGAAGCTTTTTAAGTGTTTCCTCATTCATACGTTTTTTCTTTTTCGTGTTTAACAATTTATTTGAAAGAGAGTCACAGAGAGAGGGGGTGATCTTCCAACCATGGATTCACTCCCCAGATGGCTGCAATGGCCAGGTCTGAACCAGGGCTAAGACAGGAGCTTCATCCACATTTCCCACATGGGTGGCAGGGGCCGGCCCAAACACTTGGACCACCTTCCGCTGCTTTTCCCAGGCCATTAGCAGGGAGCTAGATCAGAAATAGAGCATCCGGGACACGAACTGGTGCCCATATGGGATGCCAGCATCACAGGCAGTGGCTTGACCCACTATGCCACAACGCCAGCCTCTCTTGAAACTATTTCTTGAATTCACTTACTGTGTTCTACTTTTTATAATCATTTTTTTATATATTCCTTTCTCCTTATGGTTGTTGTTGTTGTTGTTTTGGACAGGCAGAGTTAGACAGTGAGAGAGAAAGGTCTTTCTACCGTTGGTTCACCCCCAAAATGAATGTCATGGTCGGTACACTGCGCCAATCTGAAGCCAGGAGCCAGGTGCTTCTCCTGGTCTCCCATGTGGGTGTAAGGCCCAAGGACTTGGGCCATCCCCCACTGCCCTCCCTGGCCACAGCAGAGAGCTGGCCTGGAAGAGGAGCAACCGGGACAGAATCCGGCGCCCCGACCGGGGCTAGAACCCGCGGTGCTGACACCACAGGCAGAGGATTAGCCTAGTGAGCCGCAGCACCAGCCTCTCTCTGGTTTTTATACTTAGGTGATACCTAGAAACAGTGACTTGCTTACAGACATAATGTTAATCATATGTGTCAACAGTGCTAGAATTAGATAAACCACAAGAACAAAATGAGCAAAAACCAAGTCATAATATGAGAGATGTAAGACCTCAAACTCCTTACCTTTGCCCCAAGACTGTGTATGTCCAGGAGTATCAAATTCTGGTATGACTCGAATCCCTCGCATTCGGGCATATTCAATCACCATACGTACGTCATTCGGTGTATAGACATGAGAAAAAGAATAGCTTCCCTATAACAGCCACATTTATTCAGGTTAAAATGAACAAAGTGGTTGGTTCTTAACAAGCCTGTTTATATTTGATAGTTATGGTTTTCACCATCAGAGTGTATGTGATATTGAATGACACATTTAAAAATAACATATCACCATAGCTTCAGGAATAGGAAATATACAGAAAAGAGAGAAATTTTCTACTAAACCACACATACCCAAAGGATGATAACCACTGAAGGACTTCTGTCAAATCATGTGTTTACTATATGTCATCAATAAATTCTCTGTACACTTTGGGTTAATCCCAGATTTACTGATAGAAATCTCTGTCTGCACTAGTGTCTCCTGCTTCAAGAACATCTGCTATAATGTTTCAGTTTCATGTGACCATACAACAAAGCAGAAATGAAATGCTGGCCCCCAAAGTGAAACAGCTGAATCAACAGCTCATCAATTTTAGAATCAAAATCCATACATTATTACAAAGCATAGCTGTAGTCTTTCAAAGTCACTGTAAGTGTTGCCAGCTTTAATAATTCTCTTATAAACAGTTCAAGACAGAGAGAAAGGTCTTCCTTTTTCCGTTGGTTCACCCCTCAAGTGGCCACTACAGCCGGCGTGTTGTGGCCAGTGCACTGCACCAATCTGAAGCCAGGAGCCAGGTGCTTCCTCCTGGTCTCCCATGTGGGTGCAGGGACCAAGGACCTGGGCCATCCTCCACTACACTCCCAGGCCACAGCAAAGAGCTGGACTAAAAAAGGAGCAACTGGGACAGAATCTGGCACCCCAACCTGGACTAGGGTGCCGGCACCACAGGCAGAGGATTAGCCTAGTGAGCCGCGGCGCCGGCCTAACTTGATGGTTTTTAAAGATTGCCTCATTCCCTTCACTGGAAAAATTAAAAGTTCAATATTAATTGTAATTAAAGATAAGTCTATTAAAGATATTGTTTAGCAGGCTTCTCAAAGTATCAACTATACCTGCTCAACTTCTAAAAAGTAATCTTGTCCCACAGCCCTCCAGATCAAATCTGTATCTAATCAAGACCCCATCTTTCAGTTTACAGTAAATACAGGGGACATGTTAATTGACACTATGGAGACACAGAACCCAGACCATGGAAAACTGACTCATTTTCTTCAACAACAACAAATTACAAGGCAAAAGGGAGACTGAGGTAGGAAGTGGGAATCTAACAATAAAAAGACAGTAGACATATTAACAGACCACAAGGTGTGGGGCTTATTTGCATCTCAATTATAATAAAATGTTTAATAAAGCAAAAACTGAATACTAACTGGTTATCTAAATTGCTGTTAATTTTTCAGTTCCAGTAATGTATTGTGGTTATTTAAAAAAAAATTATCAATGAAATAAAATGTTTGGGGTTGACTGACAACATGGGGGGCAGAGGATATCTGCAGGACAGCCTGAGATTGGCCATGTGCGAACTACTAGAGCTGAGTGATGAGAACATGGAAATTCATGAAACATTTCCATCTGCACTTGAAAATTTCCATAATGAAAGTAAAACAAAAGCATGTGCTCTTAACATTTCAGCCTGAACTATAATAGTGGGGAAAGTTTGGAATTGTAACCAGAGTACAGAATGTAGAGTCTTGATTGGGACCCTTCCTAACTGCAACTATAGACAAAGCACAGAGCTTCTCTGGATGCCACTTACTCCGTGTAATGGAATTAAACGAGGTCCCTCTATGGATCGCCCCCAGCCCGGCTGCTCTACAAGGCAGTCTTCTTGGGCACCTCCCACCAAGACCATCAGTCTTGTAGCCAAGAGCCCGCCTCTCTAAAATTCCCTGCTTAGTGTAACTTTTTAAAAGAGGACAAATACATATTTCCAAATTCTGTTTAAAGCAAATAATATAACTGGTCCCCTTGATAAATATATCTTAGCTGTAAGTTATTTGGGAGTTATTTAGGTCTTCTAAATTGTTTTTTAAATTTTACTTGTAGTGTCCATAGAGTTTATTTACATGTATGCTGGCATAACATTTATAATAACAATTATAGTAGCATTTATAACACAACAAAGACATAACAGTTTTGTGGATCTAAAAAGCTAAGTCATAGACTAAAAAAAACATATAAAACTATGACTATCTTGGATTCAATTTCAATTCTATTCAGAAAACATTTTCACTACAAAATTCTAGTGAAGCTATTCCAAAGATTTTTGGAGACAGACAACAATAACATGAATTACTCACTTTATCGCTTAACTGAGGGAAAGTGACGCTCTGATAAGGGAAAGACTGATCGTCAACTATGTGCCAGTGGAGAACATTAAACTTATTAAAAGCCATGGCATCCTGCAAGTGAAATGTGGCAGAAATTACATACTGCACAGAAAACACACAATTCATACTACTGATGTACATTTGGGATTACTGCCATTAAGTCTGATTCTTTTCAAAATGTCTTTTTAAGTAATGAAAAGAAATGTAGAAGAAATAAATTCATTATGCATGCTTTACATTGGCATATAACTATTCAAAAAGCCTGTAGACTTCATATTTATCCTAGACAACTTTGCTCTGTGGGAGGAAAACAAGCTTATAAATTCCCAGTGTTCAGAGACCTGCCAAAAATGGAAAATAACCCCTGCTACATGCAACTGTATTTGGGAATGGAGCAGAGAAAAAAAATGTTTTTTTTAAACAGTTTTATTTATTTATTTGAAAGGCAAGTAACAGAGATGGAGAGACAGAGAAAGAGATCTTCAACCCACTGGTTCACTCCCCAAATGCTTACAACAGCAGAGGGTAGGCCAGGGTGAAGCCAGGAGCCATCCATGTACTTGAGGCATCAGGTGTTGCCTCCCAGGAGCATTAGCAGGGAGCTGGATTGGAAGCAGGGTAGCTGGGACTCAAATCAGCACTCCGATCTGGGACACAGGCACCCCAAGCAATGAATTAATCCCCTGTGGCAAATGCCTGCCCCATCCCATCAAATTTTGCAGGGAAAGTTTTGGGCAAATGGACACAACAATTTATGTAGACTATGGAGGAATAAACAATACTTAGTATTTATATAAAATATAAGTAGAGTTTTGAAAATGATTTTAAAAAACCTATATGGGGGAGATTTGCTCTGCCAGATAATCAAGACTTGAAGCCTCTCATGGTGCTGAGAAGCAGCTTCCAGACAAGAGGCTGTGCAAACAAATGAGCATATTGAGGATAACAGGACATTAGTTAGAGAAGGACATTACACATATGGATGGTTTTTAATATGGACCAAGTATTGACAAAGTGAGAGCCACTAGGAAATATTTTGGCTTTTAGAGCCATACAGTTTCGGTTGCAACTACCCTACTCTTTAACAGAAAAGGACAATTTGTAAACAAAAGTATGTGGCTGTACTACAGTAAAACTATTTGCAGAAAAGGTACAGAACAGGATTTGGCCCTTGGGCTGTAGTTTGCCAGCCTTTGATATAAAACACCTATAGGAGTAGGAAAAGATGGGTGTGTTCATATAAATGTATGTGTGCACAGAAGAGAGATCTTCAAAAAGGTCACAGAAAATGTATATTCTGAAAAAACTGGATTTCAGTTTTAGAGATACCAAATTATTTTATTTTTATTTCCATGAGTTGTCTAAAGTCTTCTCCTATTTTCTACTCTGTGTGCTGACAGGGCCTGGAAGCAGTTGTCACTTGTACAGTCAATTCCAACTAACACCCTCACTTGTATCTTCCTTCTCTGACTGTGAAAACTATCTTATTATCCTCAGTATACTTATTTATCTTATTTATTTATTATATTTATTTATACTTATTTACCTGCACAATCCGCTTTTCTGTGAGCTATTTCCCAATTGCATCAGCCAAATCCTCATGAAGAGGACAGTGAAGCTTTAGCCTTGATTACCTGGCAGTGAACATACCTATAGCTCAAACTTAAAAATAAAAATAAAATAAAAACAAACAAAAAATTATTTATTTGGAAGGCAGAGTGACAGAAGAAAAAAATTAGAGACAGATCTTCCATCTACTGACTGACTTGCCAAATGGCTGCACCAGCCTGGGCAAGGCCATGCTGAAGCCAGAAGCTGGGGTGTCTACCTTGTTCTCCCATGTGGGTGGCAGTAACTCAAGTACTTGGGCCATCATCTGCATTTGCAGGATGCTGGATTAGAAACACAGAATAGCTGAGTCTCAAACCAGGCACTCAGATATGGGGTGTATGGGTGTCCAGAGTGGCAGCTTAACCCACCATAGCACAACACACACCCCTCCTGTAGCCCAAAGTGAATTAGAAACATTCATCATTGAAAGAGTTCCTTGAAGAAAAGCCTTAATGCAGCCTGGAACAGCCAAAGGTAATTGTGGAACATCATATGCCAAAAAAGCAAGAAAGTACCCAAGGGTTGAAATGCTGAAGAAATAAATTCATTATATTGACTGATTTTCAAAAAAGATAGCAAATATGTGCCACATTGTTGGCCAAGCATACATGGTCATGACCTGTCTAGAAGGCAGTCAACATTATTTACAAAAGTTAAGCTGTTCCAAAAGACAAAAACTGCATTTTTAAGCCCAGAAATTCACTTCTAAGAATTTACCTTCAAAAAATAAGCTTGCAAGTATGTAAATACATACATTTAAGAATGCTTTCTCTGCAGAACTATTTATAATAGTTGCCCATCCATATGAGATGGGTTAAATATATCATGGTACAAAAAGCGAAACATTCAACTGTTTAAAAGGCAGCAGAAGTAAAGTCTTTTTTTTTTTCTTTAATTTTTTGACAGGTCGAGTTATAGACAGAGAGACAGAGAGAAAGGTCTTCCTTCCATTGATTGGTTCACCTCCCCCCCCCCACAAATGGCTGCCACGGCCAGCGCTGTGCTGATCCGAAGCCAGGAGCCAGGTGCTTCTTCCTGGTCTCCCATGCAGGTGCAGGAGCCCAAGCACCTGGGCCATCCTCCACTGCCCTCCCGGGCCACAGCAGAGAGCTGGACTGGAGGAGGGGCAACCGGGACAGAATCCGGCGCCCATATGGGATGCTGGTGCCGCAGGCAGAGGATTAACCAAGTGAGCCACGGCGCCGGCCCCAGAAGTGCAGTCTTATGTGAGTTTCTAAAAAAGTCATATTGTATGTATTAATATATTCATTTTTAGGGACATTTAAGTTAACCTTTGGTAAATGGAATTATGAGATGACTGCTTATTTTCTGCATATCTATATTGCTTAAATGTTTCACACTAAATTTTTTTCATAAAAGTCACAAAAAAATTCTTAAGAGAAACAAAATGAAGAGTATTAATGTAGATGTAAAAACAGTTTTGTAGTGGCAGGGGATCTTCATAAATGACTCAGTGAAGGGGCAGAAAGGCATGTAAGGAAACCTTCCCAAACTCCTGCCACATCAGTGAACAGGGAGGTGATGGAGGGGATGAACTGGTAAAAACCCCTTAAGATAAAACAGTTAATGTCACCCTCCTAACGCCTACTACCCTGTGGTTACATAGTCCCTTAGAACATTTCCCTGGAATAAAGCAACTCCCAGACTCCTTTCTGTGCCACTTAAAAAAGAGTTAAAATGGAATGGGCATTTAGCCTAGTAGTTAGGTTGCCCACATCCCACATCTGAGTGCCTGTGTTTGATTTCCAGCTGTGGCTCTTGACTCTAGCTTCCTGCTAAGGCAAAGAGTGGTAGCTCATGTAACTGGGTTCCTGCCACCCACGTGAGAATCCTGGATTGTGTTCCCAGCTCCTGGGTCTAGCCCTGGCACAGCCCCAGCTGTTGCAGGCATCTGGGGTGAGAACCAGTGGATGTCAGTGTTCGTGTTTGTGCATGTGCACCTCTCAAGTAAATCAACAGAATTCAAGTAAAGGTTATAAAATTATAGGACACTAACCAGAAGCCAGGTAGCCATTGTTTGCTAACCGAAAGTCAAGATACATGATTTAACCTTGAGAGAAGAATAAAGGGCCACTGGTTAGTGTTAAAACTGTCTTTCTCTTAACAGCTTAAATACCTTGGAATGTGAGAGAGAGTGAAGCCCAATTCCCTCTGCCCCACCATCCAACCTACACAGCAATGTCAGTAACAACTCACAGGGGGCACACCTTCAAAATAGACACTGGATTCAAATACAATAATTACTTACCAGAGTTCTTAAAATAGTCTTTACTGGCAGGTAATGCCTGGATGTATCAATCAAAATTCCTCTATGAGGAAACCTTGGGTAGTCAGTGATGGTGGACTCATTGATGGTGAACTGTAAGACAAAATTTGATTTTGTTGTACAATTTCTCTTTATTTTAGCTCAGTGAAGATTACATCTATCCAAATGAGTAACAGATCAAAGATGAGAACAACAACAGTAAGTGAAATTTACATTTACCAGCTAAGATAAATGTTTGGGCAAAAGAAGCCTTTAGAAAGCCTTAGCCAAATAGGTGTCATTTTCCTAGAAGTAATGTGTCTATTCAACAGTTTTTATGACATAAAAGCCATACTTACAGTCCCATAAGAATCTTGATAAACTAACTGGCTAAAGGTCTCTAAACCTAAGAAAAGTAAAATGTATTGCATTAATTTACAAAACAGCAAACTGAGACAATAACAGTGGTATTTATCCAAACACAGACTCATAACCAGATAAGGCAAATGAAACATGTCAGTCCCACACTCTAACATATTTTCTAAAATCAAAGCTGGATCTTTTAAAAAATCTCTGTCTCTCTATTCATCTAATAACTGTGCTATAATTCATTGTATCCATTCCATGGGTTTTATTTGAATGTTAAACACACACAAAAAAAGAATAGTGGTTAAATAAAATGCCAGTTTCCTAATAAATCTATAACATTATGAGTTTTTAATAATTAAATATTAAAGTCACAGAAGTTATTTAGGGGCTGGCATTGTGGCATAGTGGGTAAATCCACTGCCTGCGATGACAGCATCCCATATAGGCACAAGTTTGAGTCACGGCTACTCCACGTCTGATACAGCTCGCTGCTATTCTGCCTGAGAAAGCAATGGAAGATGGCCAAAGTGCTTGGGCCCTTGCACGCACATGGGAGAACTGGAGGAAGCTCCTGGTTCCTGGCTTTGACCTGGCCCTGACCTGGCCCAAACCTGGCTGGTGCAGCCATTTGGAAACTGAACTAGCAGATGGAAGATTCTCTCTCTCTTTCTCTCCTTCTCTCTCTCTATAATTCTGCCTTTCAAATAAATAAATCTTTAAAAAAGGTTATTTAAATTTAGCAAAGGGAAAAAGCTCAAAAACCTATGAAACTATAAATAATGGCCCAATTTACAACTTAGAGTGTTTTTATTGTAGCTGCAAAGACTATCGCCTGAACATTTTTTATTCAAGTGGCTCATTCCCTTAATATACTAAATTATAGGTTCATTACTCTGACTGGCCTTGACTTTATCAGGATTCATCATCTAGCTGACGGGGTATATATCCCGGGAAATAAGAACCATACAAAGAAATAAGAACCATATAAATTTTGCTATGCTTTCCTCGCTTCCCACTCTCCTCAAACAGAGGTTCATGCTAGGAAGAATAACTTGAGGATTTTCTGTTCAGTGGCAATACACTCAATTATCAGTTTACAATACATCACTTTGAAAGTCTGATGTTAAAGAGAAAATAAGGATATCTTGGGTTAGAATCTGGTTACTGCATTTTCTTGAAAGTTCTTCATTTTGGCACGGTCAGGACAAACATCAGTAAGGTTATATTCTCCCTAGCAGACCCTGACAACATAGGCAACCAGGCTAATAAAAGCTTAGAACCGCTTAACATTATATATAAATAGCTCAGATAATGGTGAGTGCATTACATTTATAGTAAAATCTGTAAATATTTTCATATTCTGTTTTGAAATGGGATTATAGTTATACCATTCTGTGGCTATAAAGCATAGCCTAACATGCTTTTAAGTACATTTCACAGGAACCCCTTTGGAGCTCCTCCTTTAAGGTAGCAAAATTGTGCTGTGCTTCAACAACAAAGCACCAACTACAGCCAAAGCAACAACGAAACTGCATGCAACTTGCCTCGTAATGCTCCCCAAACTTTGTTGGCCTTCAGCAAAGCCAGTGGTTCTTTCACAATTAAGGAATCTGTGTGGAGGGGGAGAAAACACACTTTTGTTAATTCCTTATTGACACACAATATATTTCCTAAAAATATTGAGTATTTCTAGATCAGTCCTCTCCAGCAGCCTCTCCACTTCAGTGTCCTGTAGATTTCCTTAACTGCCCCAGGCCCAAAATAGCCCTTTCCTCCTCCTTCTCCATGACACGCCAAGCTGGGTCTCATCTCAGGGAGTCTCAGCACCCTGTCTTCTCATTTGAGCAGCTCAAGACAGGAACCTGGGAATCATCTCCAAAATTCTTCATTTTCCCGGTTATTCTCTCTAATTGTCTCTAAACATAGTGAATCCTAGTTAAATCAAGATTTCAAGTAAAAGCAAACTTTCCTGAGTGCCCACAATTCCTTTATAACCTTCAGGTGTCACTCAAATCTTCTACTCTCCTTAAGGCCAGGGAGTTATCGCCACTATTTTCCCTTCAGGTTTATTTGTTTTTCCTCCGACTTGCCCTGCATCCACCCTCCCTCAGTATCACCTGAAATGTGCTCTAAGTCTTACTTCCTAACTCCTGGTAGCTTAGTTCAGCTTTGTCCCACTCAATTAAATGTGCACATCCATCGGGAATGTAGCTCTAGTTGACTGCTTCTACACAAGAGGGGGCTGATTGCCCAGGCTTTGACATTGCCCTCTGCCTAGGCTTGGCCCAACAATCATGTTAGTTTTTTAGAGACCTGGGCCACATCAACCACAGAGAAAGGAAAACGCAAAAGAGCACAGAGATGGAAAGCTATGTAGACTTTGCTTCGGTGAAGACACTAAAGGACTCGAGGTTAATGATTTAGTACTGTGTGATCTCAACTAGATCCTCCACTGCCACCAGCCAGGCTGTCATAGGATGGTTGCCTGCAGGTAGGGATAAAAAGCCCTATCAATCATGTGACTGTCTCATGTGACAATCTTCTGACAAGACAGCCTTTTCCATTAGAAGATTAGTGATGAGTTAGCAAAATACTACACTAGGCACTAATTTAAACTTAAAACTAGTTTATCCTTCAATCATAAAATTTCACAATTATCTTCTCTCGAGGGGCTTCCCTTTTGACATAAAGAGGGTTGCAGAATGGATTGGAAGATAAGCTATGACCCTTCAGGCTCAAAACAATGCATTTCCTAGAATTAACAATATGTATTTCTTAGGCTGATAGCAAAGATTTCTTGGCAACTTAATGGCCATTTCTATCTCTAGTCAGATTGCAAAAGCTAATTTATTTAGTGTCTGAGTATCTCTGAAATCCCATGGTAAATTATCTCATTTCTCTTCTATGACCAGCTACAGAACTGAAGCTATTCTTCCAAGGGAAGTATTATAAAATCTCACCTAATACCAGGAGGATGAAAACATGTCTAAGGACAAAGAATTTTCTCTTTTCTATAAATATGCAGCATTTTTCTATCCTTATACTCAATTCTCCAGTCTGCTTTTCCTTGCATTGGTCATCTATTACACACGTCCTCATATATCCCCTCTTTCACTCTGTGATGCAATTCCATATTATTCCCAGCTAGCACACACCCCATAGAAGAGACCTGCCCTTTCAAAATATTCCTTTCAAAATAATTTGGGAAAAGCCAGTCAAAACTTTATATAACTAAATGTTGATTATATTATCAAATGAAACAGCTCTTTTCATCCCCATCCTCCAGTGCTGCACTTTATCTTTGTTTAAAGTTAGATCATAGAGACCATGTATACAAGCACAGATGTGTCTTTAAAGATAAAAGGTGTTAAGAAATTGCCTAGGTGTTCAAAACTAAGATTGGCTGACCAAGTTCATCCACACAGTGGCAAAACATTATTCAGCTATTAAAAATGATGTCAGGGCAGGTGGTGTGATGCGGCAGGTTAAGTGACCACTTGGGACACCTACATCCATGTAGGAGTGATGGTTAAAGTCCAGCTGCTCTAATTCCAATCCAGCTTCTTGCTAATGTATCCTGGGAGGCAGCAGATGATGGCTTAAATTCATGCGCTCCTGCCAAGAAGACCCGATTCCAGGCTTCTGGCTTTGGCTTGTCTCTGCCCTGGCTGTTGCAGGCATTTGGGGAATGAAGCAGCAGATAGAGTCTCTCTTTATCTCTCTCTCTCTCTCTCTCTCTCTTAGGTATATGGAAATAAACATTTTTTTAAATGATGTAAAAGAAGAAAAGTGAAATTTTCAAATGTTTACAATGCATTATACAAAAAGCAGAATACAAAGAAGCAAAAATGCAAAAAGCAGAATACACATATACAAAATTACCCACATTTCAACTCTGTTATATCTAAAAAATATGTATATACCTGAAATAGCAGTGATTAATTCTATCTCAGTACTGGGGTTATGAGTGATTTATTTCTTCCTCTTCTTCACTTATTGTACTTACAAATTTTCTAAAATGTCTATGTACATTGTTACTATATAATCAGACTTTACAGGTTATTCTTTAAATAGAATTTAGAAACTCATACTGGCCAAGAACTTACAATGGTTCCTGGCATGGAGCCCGATTCTGGCTCTGAAGTCTGTTCATGAACAGCTCTGAACACAGTGTACCCATTGTCACACAGACACTTACAAGACTCATCAGAATCCAGGCTGGGGAAGGCATCACACTCCGACTCAAGGACAACAGAAACCAGAAGTTGCTGTAATTGTGTTCCATCCTGAAATTTAGCAGGGTGATGGTGCCACTTGTGGAAACCAAAAATATATTCATAATATCTGCATGAGAAATAAGTTCAAACAAATTTAAAAGCATGTTAGTCAAATCTTAAATATTTATATGCCGATGGACATTGTCATGACTCCTCAAAACCATGGCACCCACTATTAGTCCAACTAGAACTTCTCACCACAAGCTGTATGTTCACAATCACTTGGAGAGCTTTTTGAAAATCTTCACATCTAGACCTACAGAACCAAAATCTCTGAGAATGGGATCCAGACATGGACATTTTAAAAGCTGCCCCCACACTCCCAAGTTATACGCAGCCCCTGTTAAGAACCAGGAATTAAACTCATCATAGTAATCCATCACTCTTAGGTGTCAAAGCCAATTCTAGATAGCAAATGTGTGTATGTGTGTGTGTGTTGGAAAGTTCCTTTCTTAACCAAATGGCAAGAAAATGTTGCTTCTCTTTATGTGATGCTAAGCTCAGTTGCAGCTACACTCAAGGCAGAGATGAAAATAATATGGATCCCCAATGACACTGTGGAGCTTCTTAGGCAACTACCTTTAAATTATTGCCTGGTTTTGGACTTCTTAATGTGTAGGTTAGTAAGTTTCCTTATTGCTTAACCCAAACTGGGCCAGAGTTCCCGTTTCCTTCCAACCAAAGTGTCCTAGCTGATACATAAACCTCACAAGGAAGGTCACTGACTCAGAATTCTCATGAGAATGTTTAAAATTCACCATCTTTGGGGTCTCAAATATCAGAGGGAAAATAATATTAAATAAAATTGAAAGAGCAACTGCTTATATAATTTTTATAGACTCTGATAAGCCTAGAGGTCATATATGCCACTTATGTAAAGGAACATCTTGTGCTTTTCCAGGAAAATAAGGAGAAGTAGGAAATTTCCATGGGTTAGGAAGTATATGGAAGTTAACCAGTGAGAGAATGGAATGGATGAAAATCTTGAGAGCCTTTCTCACAGGAAAACTTGGGCAGATTTAAAGGAAGTTAAAACTACTGAAGTGGATACTTAAAAATGATTATGATGAAAATGTTATGTGTATTTTACTAAAAATAATAAAATAAAATAAATGTAAAATGATAGCAAATGAAGCACTAGTTTGTCCCAAATAAGGAAAACCATGGCCCTGGATAGCAAAATTCTAACAGCAAATTCAAAGGGTTCTGAAGTAATAATGCCCAAAGTACTGGGTTAATTTAGCCTTCCAGGAAATGAAGGAGTCAAGTTATTCATTCATTAAAAAAAAAAAAAAAAAGGCTGGCAAGTGAGGGACCTGTTCTAGAAGCTGAAGAGGCAGCCACGCACCTAACAGCCCCACACTCTGCCTGCAAAAAACCACACTGCTTCCAAGCACAGTTTGTGATAGCGTGGGCGCTGCACTGGCAGAAGTCAGGTGACTCTCAACCATGTGGAACCTGTGTGTTCCCCACCTAGAGCTTTCTGAACAACCCCAGAGCTCCAAATCCTCCCAACCCACTGCGCTTTCATTCCGAGAGCCACGCTGCCCTTGTGAGTTCCTCGAATGCTCACTGGCATGCTTTCAAGTCTTAGCGACAAGCGCTGACAGGTTTTATACCCTGTTGCCCAACAACAACAATGCCAGGTGTAATTACTAAGTGCTTCCCACCCAGGCCTTGTTTTCAAACCATCTCACAGCTGACTCAAGTCCTGGTTACCTACATATTATTAACTTATGTCACCCATGCTGTCCTGCATATTCACATCACTCAAGCATCTCACCAGGCTCTTGTTTCCTTTTGCATGAAGCAAAGAGAAAATCCAATTTTACAAGCTGAGTGAAAAGGCAAACATAGTAAAGGTGGTTTTTATTTTTTCCCCTAAAGATTTGCAACCGTTGTCATGAACTTGAGACCTTCAAGTAAATTTCCACTCAATTCTATCACAAGGAAGTCGAGTTCTTTTGTTTTACATCCTCACCCCAGCTCTAACTACACAGCACTCCTACCTGTTAGCAGGTGGCAGAGGATGCCCTATCTCTGCCATCAGTGAAGGGTCTTCTGCCCAAGCCTAAGCTCCAGGCATTCTGGGATCAGAACTCATTAGGCTAGTGTTGTATTTTCCCAGGGGCTGTTTGGTGTCCTGTAGGCACCAGTAAGCGGTAACTCTAACCATCAGACAGCATCTGGGGGTAGAGGGAAATGGCACATCTGGCACCAAATGAAAATCTTCAGGGACTACACACCTTCAGGGCTGTCCTGCTTACACAGGCCTCACACCTATGGCACAGCTTGTGGCAAGCCCAAACTCCCACAAAGCAACCTGACTTGTCCACAGTGAGGTTAGCTGAGCAGACTCTGAGCCGGCTGCCTCCCATTCTCTCTATGGCCAAAGGGGTTGGAGAGATGAGAGAGCTTTGGAAGCCTGCGTTGCTAAATAAGTGACTCAAAGGTTTTAGGGGCTGCAAAAGAGGAAGCAGAAAGAGCAAGCCCATGACCGATGTTGAAAATCACGAAGACAAACAGATCCTGCCCAAGCACTGGCCACCGATCTGGGAAGAGAATGGGAGTTTGAAGGCAGGGTACCCACATCGGGGCTCTTGCCATCCCTCCTGGGACCAGGAGACATGCGGAGCAGGAAGGGACGGGTGTGAGACCAGCTTATAAACGAGTCAACTTTGGGGAACCCCTGGTCCCTCCGATGCGTCCCTTAAAATCCCTTTCAAACAGGAAGCTGTCACGTCCCTCCCAGGCACCAGCGTCTCTATCGCATGTTTTCTGAGCTTTTGTAATCAATCTGCTCCTTCCACTGCAGATCTTACACCGAAAACAGGGTGCTGAGCACCCCAGGCGTACCCCTAAGAGGCAGAAGGGAGGCGAAGAGCTTGGCTCTCACTCCGCGTGGGTTTGAAACGGTCCCGCCATCTCTAAACCCGTGACCTGAGTAGGGTCGCTAACCTGCTCGGAGACCGTGCGAGGGTCCGCCCAGCCCTCCCCCCCCCCCCCCGGGTCGCCCGCCACACGCAGCCTGGATCCCCGTCCCCTCCCGGGTGTCGCAGCTGGAGCGCTCACCGCCGAAAGGCCTCCTGCAGCAGGGAGCAGGAGGGGCCCGCTGTGGAGTTGGGGCCGTGGCGAATGTAGAAGTTCCCGGGGTCGAGGTGTAGCGCGCTCAGGGACACCTGCACTGACACTGGCAAGGGCCACAGCGGCGGACCGCCCCAAGCCGAGGCCGTGGGGGCCTGCGTACCCAACGCCAGCAGCAGCAGCGGGCACAGCATCCACAGCGGGCGTTCCATGGCCGCTTGCCTGCTGTCTGCTGGGTCTGCCCGGCCTCGGCCCCCGGCCCCAAGTGACTGCCAGCAGTGCCCGTAGGAGGAAGTGCTGGGGCCAGAAAGCCACAGTCAGCTGACCGCGCGCCCCGCCCCGGACTCCGCCTCCGACCTCGGGAGGAACCGCCCCAGGGACCGCGTCCCCGCCACTCCCCAGGACGGCCTCCTGGCGTGCTCTGGGTGGAAGCGGAGGCGAAACAGCAGCCTCGAATACAGGGCGGTCAGAGCCAGCCCGCTTCTGCGCGCACCCGCCGCAGCTGGCTCTCCTGCGGGCCCTGGTCAAGTCCTTGGGCCCCCTCGGTTCTCCCGCGGCGCACGCCAGACCGCCGAGAGTGTCGTTTAGTTCATTTGCTCGTTAAATGTAGACTTTTCCGCTTTCATGAACACGCCCTTCCTGTCTGCCCGAGGCAGAGATCTGAACACATGGTAAATAACGATGACGGGAGAAGGGCTGTGGAGTCGGAGGACACAGAGAGGACGCCGCGGCCCACGCCGATGTTAGCGTATATTTGTAATGCGAGATTAGTATTGCCGAAGCTAAATTTTTAGAAAAGCTTAAAACATGATTGTTGTGAAATAGAATGAAAATGCATCAGATGTTTATTGAAAATTTTCATTAACAAATAATTATACACATTTATGAGGAACAGTGTGACTTTTTTTTTCTTTGTGTTCCTAGAAGTGTATGAAAACTTGCAAGATTTAGAGGTCAGCACCATAGCATACCCGGTAAATTGGTGCATTTCCCTGATGGCTAGTGATCCTGAATATTTTATGGACCTGTTGGCCATTTGTATTTCTTCCTTTGAAAAGTGCCTAGTTATATCCTTTGCCCATTTCTGGGGTGTGTGTGTATGTGTGTGTGTGTGTGTGTGTTTAAGATTTATTTAGAGATAGAGGGAAAGACGGAAAGAGTGAGAGAGATCTTCCATTTGCTGATTCACTCCCCAGATGGCTGCAGTGGCCGGAATTGGGCCAGGCTGAAGTTTAGGAGCCTCATCAGGGTCTCTCACGTGAATGGCAGAGCACCAAGAATTTGAGCCATCTTCTGCTGCTTTTCCAGGCACATTAGCAGGGAGCTGGATCAGAAGTGAAGCAACCAGGACTTGAACCGGTGCCCATAAGAAATGCTAACACTGCAGGCAGTGGCTTAACCATCTATGCCACTGTGCCAGCCCTGACATGATTATATAGCGGAACCAAAAGACTGTACCAAGAGACTACTGGAACTGATAGCAAACTCATCGCAGTTGCAGAATACAAAATCAACACACAAAAATCAACAGCATTCATATTCAACAAGAATGATTTGACTGAGAAAGAACTTATAAAAACAATTCCACTCACATGGTTGCAAAACAACTTAAAAACCTTGGGATAAATTTAAGCATGTGAAAAATCTCTACAATGAAAATTACAAAGCATTAATGAAAGAAGTAGGAGAAGACACCAAAATTGGGAAAATCTTACATGGTTATGGATTGGAATAATTCATATTATAAAAATATCAATATCACCCAAAAGTTTACAGACACAATGCAATCTCCATAAAAATTCCAATGACAAACTTCACAGAACTAAAAGATACAATCTTAAATCCATATGGAAACACAGAAGACCCAGAATAGCCAAAAGAATCTTTAAAAAAAGATTTAGTTATTTTATTTGAAAGAGTCACAGAGAAGGAGAGGCAGAGGTAGAGACAGAGGTAGAGAAAGCTCCCATCTGCTGGTTCACTCCCAAATGGCCCCAACAGATAGAGCTGGACCAGGCTGAAGCTAGGAGCCAGGAGCTTCATTTGTGTCTCCCATGTGGGTGCAGAGGACCCACACGGGAAAGCATCTTCCAGTGCTCTCTCAGGCCATTAGAAGGGAGCTGGATCAGAAATGGAGGAGTCAGGACTCAAGCCAGTGCCCATATGGGATGTAGGTGCTGCAGGTGGCAGCTTAACCCACTGCCATATGCCAGCCCCCAAAGCAGTCTTAAAGAGAAGCAGGAGTCATCACAAAATCAAGACATAGTACAGGGATATTATAACCAAAACAGCATGGTACTGGCTTACAAATAGACATGTAGACCAATGGCACAGAATAAACCCTATAAATAAATCCATACATCTCTAATCAACTAGTCTTTGGTAACCATGCTGAAACCATTCCCTAAAGAAAATATAGTCTCTTCAAACAAATGGTGTTAGGAAAATTGGATTTCCACATGCAGAAGTTTGAAACAAGACCCCGTACCTTACACCCTATACAAAAATCAACTCAAAATGGATCAAGGACCTAAGACCTAAAACTCTCAAACTACTAGAGGTAAAAACACAGGGGAAGCACTTCAAGACTTGGCCTAAGCAAAGACATTTTGGGTAAGACCTCAAAAGCAAAATCAATAAAAGCAAATATAGACAAATGAGATTATATCAAGCTAAAAAGCTTTTGCACAGGAAAAGAAGCAATTAGATAAATAAAGAGACAACTGAAAGAATGGGAGAAAATATTTGCAAACCACAATCTGATAAGGATTATTATTTAGAATATATAAGGAGCTCAAAAAACTCAACAACAAAAAAACCAAACAATTGAGTTAAGAAATGGGCAAAATAGGGTCAGCATTGTGACGTAGCAGGCAAAGCTGCTGCTTGTGATGTCAATTTTGATTTTTTAAATTTTTTGAGACTTGTCTTATAGCCTACTTTATGGATATCCTAGACAATGTTCCATATACTGGTGAAAAGAATATGTACCCTGAGCTGTGGGATGGAATGGTGTGTAGATGCCTGTTAAGTCCATTTGGTCTATATTGTAGTTTAGTTTTGTTGTTTCTTTGTTGATTTTTTTTTTGACTGGTTGATCTGTCCATTGATAAAACCTGGGTGGTAAACTCCCTCAGTACCATTGCATTGGAGCTTATGTCTCCCTTTAGATCAATTAATATTCTTTGTATAAAACTGGGCACCCTAGCATTATGAGCATATACATTTATAATCTCTTATCTTCTTGTTGAATTGTTCATCACAAACTGACCTTCTTTTATTTTTAACAGTTTTTGTCTTAAAGTCTCTCCATTTTTTAAGATTTATTCTATTTGAAAGACAGGATTTCTGAGAAAGGGAGAGATCTTTCTCCACTGGCTCACTCCCCAAATGGCCACAACAGCCAAAGCAGGAGCCTGGAACACCACTCAGGTTTCTCACATGGGTGGCAAGGGCCCAGGTACCAGGGCCATCTTCCACTGGATGGAAAGTGGAGCAGCTGGAATTCGAACCCAAGCTCATATGGGATGCTGGCATCACTAGCAGTAAAACCTACTGCACTATAATGCTTGCCCCTTAGAGCCTTTTTTGTCTGATATAAGTATAGCTACTCCTGCTTGTTTTTGATTTTCGTTTGTGTAGAATGTCTTTTCTCATCCTTTCACTTTCAGTCTGTGTGTGTCTTTACTGGTGAAATTCTGTTTTTTGTAGGCAGCACAGAGTTGTGTCTTGTTTTTTTCATCCATTCAGTCCTTCTTTTTATTTATTTATTTGAAAGTCAGAATTACAGAGATTGAGGGAGAGACAAAGAGAGAGGTCTTCTATCTGCTGGTTCACTCCCCAGATGGCTGCAATGGCCAGGGCTGGGCTAGGCTGAAGCTAGGAGCCAGCAGCTTCTTCTGGATCTCCCACCTGGGTTGCAGGGGCCCAAGCACTTGGACCATCTTCCACTGATTTCCCAGGCCATTAGTGGAGAGCTGGATTGGAAGTAGAGCAGCCGAAACCAGTGCTCCTATGGGATGCCAGTGTCACAGGCAGTAGCTTAATCCACTATACCACAGTATAGGCCCCTAGTCTTTTTATCTTAATTGGGAAATTTAGTACATTTATATTCAAGGTTATTACTGATAATTTTTTCCATAACAATTACTATTGTTTGAATACCCTTTGTTCTTTTATTAGTAGGTTTCTTACTTTCACATTCTTTTATTGTACAAATTGGCTTTCTTTCTATGTGTAGTAAATCCTTTAATATCATTGTAAGGTTGGTCAAATAGTAATGAATTCTTTTCATTTTAGCTTGTCTTAGAAAGTCTTTATTCACCTTCATTTACAGATATAAGCTTCTCTGGGTAAAATATTCTGGGCTAGCAACTTTTTCCTTTCAGAATTTGGACTGTATCTCTCTGTGCTCTCCTGGCCCATAACGTTTCTGTTGAAAAATCTGTCAATATATTGGGAAGTTATTTCAAAGTGACATGCATGGCACTTTTCAATTGCAAATTTCAATGTACTTTCTTTATGTTTCACTTTTGAAAGCTCCAATGTAATGTGTTGTGGGAAAGATCTTTTCTGATCATGTCTACTTCAAAGATTCATATATTAGGTAGTTCATATATTAAGTGGTTCAATGGTATCCCAGAGATCCCAGAAACTGTGTTATTCTTTTACATTTTTTCTACTTTTATCTTTTTGTCTAAATGGAATATGTCAGAAGACCCGTCTTCTTCATTAGATATTCTTTCTCATATCCCATCTAATCTGTTGTTAAGGCTTTTCACTGTATTTTTTATTTGACTTACTGAATTCTTCATTTATAATATTTGGTTCTTTTTCAATATCTCTATCTCTTTATCAAATTTCTCATCCAGGTTATGTACTAATTCCCTAATTTCATTTAACTGTTTATTGTCATTTTTTAAAATTCTTTCTCAGGAATTTCATCAATTTCCCTTTCTTCACAGTCTGATATTAATGCATTATTGTGCAAGCTTGGGCAAGTTGTGTTGCCTTCCTTTTTCATATTTCTTGTGTTTCCATGTTAATTTTTGTACATCTGGGGCTCATTTGTTTCTATGAGTTTCAGAGGGTGGGTTTTTGTTGATTGAAGGCTTTTTCCTGAAGATGTGCCTCTGGGTGCTTGGTAGATTGCTTTATCTTTAGTTCTGGTTAGATTTTGTAGTACAGTCACCCTATGCCTTTATTTGCTATAGTTGATGATAGCCAAAGTAAGGACCTGGGCTGCGTCTGTGGCTCAGTGTGGTCACTGAAATCCCCATCACAGAGGTCCCCAGCTGTCTCCTAAGGAAGGGACTAGGAAAAGACCTGCTAGATGTTAGGAAGGGGCCTTGCTAGGGCTGTAGGTGCATGTGGTACGTACACCTCCAGCCAATATCAAGTCAGGAGCTGGAGCTGTGAGAGCAGTGCTGGTTCCAGGAACCAAATAGCTTTATGGAGTTCTAGCCACTACCCATCTCGGGAGTTCCAAGATCCACACTAATGCTTGGAGGAAGAGTAGGCTGTTTGCCACAGGCTGTGTGAGAAGGGGGCTGGATCTGTGAGAGTTACAAGTGAGCAGCAGCACCTAAAATCTGGCAGCTTCTAGGGGAAGAGCTGGCACCCTGAATCCCATGCTGCAGCTGGACAGAATACAGAATCTCTGAGTCAGAGG